AAAAGAGGCAGAGGAAGGCACAAAGCACTCACTTGGAAGAAATTCGGGTTTTATTTATTTGCTTTTCTTTAATCATGTGTAATTGAACTCCTCAACTCAGGTTAGGGAGGAAACCTCCATTTGATGAAATAAATTCCTCTTAATCATTTTATTAATTCCCATGTGTGCGCTTTGGATACTTATGATTTTGGCTTCATATGATCAATTAATTTAAGTTTCTTCATCACGTCTATCATGTATCAGTGGTATTTGAGAATAAGAAATAATTACTTATCAAAAAAATAAAAAATAAAGAAATAATTAAGTAAAAATATATTAGAAAAGCGTTCAAAAGGGGAACGCGTCCCTAATACAAGAAGAAAAAAGACCTAAGGACCAAAACTTGATTTCATAATCTTCAAAAGTAAAATTCTTTGATCTTATGTTTTTCAATAAGTTGAAAACATAGTATACTTAGAATTTCACACTTTTTAGGCGAAGGAAAGTCTACTTTCCATATTTGCATCGACTTGCAGCCCAATTTTGAACTAGTTGAGCTGTTTCACGAAATCATTGTGAAATGCAAAAATGATGGACTTTAAGTCTTCTTCCCATAGTAGTTGAGAGATATCTAAGTCAAAAGTTACGGCCAAAATATTGTGACAGCACCAGAACTTTCCTTCCAAGTTTATTTTCAAATTTGAATATGGAAGGTTTTTTTTGTTGAATTTAGAGTCTCACACATTTTTTAATGTAAAAGGTTTTATTTTATCAGCTAAAATCTTCTAGAATTATCTTCAATTGATCTTAGCCTTTGAATTGCCTTGGATGCTTGATCTCCTCAATTCGTCTTTGAATCATATTTGCTCAATTTTCTTTATGTGACTAAAATGACCTAAATAATCTCCTATTTTTGTGAAAATTACCAATGACCTAAAATAATTTTGGAGATAAAATAAGTACAAAATATGTACTCATCACATCCCTAGGTAAGGGAAGGTGTCTCCCTCATTTTTCATTTGGTTGAATGGAAGGGATAGTAGAATGGATGGATGGGAGTGACACCATTTTTTGGTTTGGCATGAACGAAGAGAAGGAGAGTTTTATTTATACTTTTACCAATATACCCTCATTGTATGTGAGAATTTCGGTAGGATTTAACAAGTGATTTTGTAAATAATTGAAAGTTAAAATTGGTATTACATATTTGTAGGGTAGTTAATATTTCCTTTCCTCCTCTCTTCCACCCAATTTTGAACAAATAAAAAAAAATGGGTTTGGAGGGATGCTTCATCCCTCCTTACTTCCCTCCTCTCCTCCCTTCCTTCCAACCAAACAAGGGAAGCTTCTTCTATCCCTCCTCTCTTCCATCCTTCCTCAATCCTTCCTTCCCACCAAACATAGCATAAACTTCTATATGTACAATTACATTAGTATTACAAAATTTGAGATGTTTTACTCACATAAAATTAATCAGCAACATGCATTATATGCAATATCTAGTAGTTACACTATTACTAAAAAATAGATAAAAACTTTCAACTTTTTTTTATTTCTAAATATTTTCCTTATATTTAAATTAACTTTCGACCATATGATTGATGGTTGAACCAATGTCCCTTTATGCCAATCCTCTATTTGGTTAACATCTATGTCAGATTTGATAACTACGCTTAAATCAACTATTGGGAATAAGTTTACTCGCAGGCTGGTGGGGAACATTGGGAATAAGGTATTTATCTCTTGTAATCACACTGTGTAGCCTTTCCCTTTCTTGTAAGGCCTTAATTCCAAGTTTACAATTTTAAAATCTATGTTTACAAGGATAACAATTCAACTCTATCTAAAGTCATAACTCTTGTTAAGCATAAGCTTCTTCTTTTTTTTTGATAAGTGTCGATAATCGCGCCACGCTAGCTATCCAAGTAGTGCCACCTCTGAAAATAGGCACACCTGGCCAATACTTATTTGGCATGCCTCCGCCCCTAAAGGGACTACATATCCTCGAGCTACTTGTCCCACGACTGGACTTGCTGTTGAGGAGGGGGTTGCTACCCTTCCTCTCCTGAGGATGCGCCCCGCTCCAATCGGATGGGCCCATCCTTCCTGCTCTTCCGAGGTCGCTTCCTGCTGGAGCGACCTCGAGCTTTCTGCTTTGTGAGCTCCCTCTTTTTGGTTAGAGGGACCTCAAAATGTAGAGTCGGGATGTGGTCTCGCGAGGTCAAGAAGGCAAAACCTTGGAGAAGGCTTATTCCTATGTTGGGTTCGGGAATCTGAGGGCATGTGGACAGGTGGCTGAGATCCAAGGTACCGCCTCGGTCCGAGGCCGATACAAGGGGGAAAGGACATTCGGTACCCGAGCTCGAGCTATAAGTGATAAAAAGTGCATTAATTACGAAAGACATTTGACAAGATCTGTATTAATTAAGGAGCGCCGTTACCTCTTTGGACCGGGGGACAAAACAACGCGGTCCATCCGTCAATGTCCCATCTGTCAGGAGGGGAGACACTCAAACCCTTGGGCAAGAGCGAGCTCACCCAAAGGACTGAGAGACATTGACCGAGGGAATGAACACTATAAATAGGAGCATTAATCAACATTTTAAGACAGATAACAACCACCTTCCACCAGACATTGTCGAGCTCGAGTTCACTGGGTACCGAGGTCGGCCTTCCCTTTCTTAATCTTTATCGTACGAAGGGTCCCTTGTATTGCTTGGATCTCTACTTGGATACTGATCTCAGATTTATTGGCTTACGTGGAACGATCTCCTCATCCTACTGAGAACCACCTTCAACAATAAGTAAAGGATTATGGACTGTGCTCAAAAGGGAAGCGCATCCCAAGACCTACACAATGGCCAGATAGGGCCCTTAGATGCTCAAATATCCACAAAGTCCTCTATTTCCCCTAAGCCTAATAACTTTGTTCCATATACTAATCCACATTCTTTCTAACCCCCTTTTAGTGCTTGCAATGCCTTTAACTCAATCTACATAAGTTCCCAAATGCAAGACTATAGAAATCTCATGTTGATCATCTATGTAGGACAACCTATGTTACATGGACTCAGGTAAGTGTGTTGGGTATGAGTATGTACCCACACGTCGAGTGTGTCAAATCCCTAAACAGAAGGACACAAGGACACTACTAAATATTTAGTTCATTTAATATTTTTATTTTACTTTTTAGAACAAAATAATGTCTTTATGCAACATAATATTCAATATAGGCATTTCACTCATTTCGAACTAAAATATAATTAAATTGAATTATTGAATATGCTTTTTAGGTACATATCCAACCAAAAGTGTCGGACACAGAACCCATGCCCATGTCTGAATAATATGTGTCTGATACGGGTACTTCACTGCATTTGAAGTCCATGTAACATAGAGGACAACTCTAATGCAAAAGCCTAACACCCTTACTGCGCTTAATAATTCCACGGTATTTGCTTAGAAAAACATTTCAAAGTTTATTCTATATTATATCCCATAACTTAATTAACCAAAAAACCAAAACATAAAAGAAATTATAAGTATCCTTTTCAAGTGTATAAGTTTTAAAGTCTGATGTGAGTACATCAATTAGTATCCATGCAATATGGAGATCCAATTCACTAAAAAAAAAAAATTGTAGAAAATATTTAATCCTGGTCATCTTACACAGAGAGAGAGAGAGATTGTGAAAGAAAAGTGCCAGCAGGTGTATCAGCAAGATAAATTATTCAAATTTAATATTCTTCTTCAATGCCACAATACACACTCACACACACACAAACAAACAAAACCACTTAAACTCACATAAAGTTGACAAAGACGTTAGCTTTCATAAATTACAAAAGAATGTGAGGCTATCTCAAAGTTGTTTTAAGGGTCACATTCAGTTTCATTTAATATACTGTAATCAAAGAAATGTAATACTACTAGTCGACATATCTAACCAAATTTCTAGACCCGGGAACTATATGCACCCAATCACTATCATACAATTTTAATAACCACACTGTTCAATAAGAGCTACGGATTCGGTTGAGGCATTCAAACTACTACAATAGGAACAATAAAAGAAATGGTTTGGACCCTAAAAAACATTTCAAAGTTTATTCTATATTATATCCCATAACTTAATTAACATAAACCAAAAAATAGAAATTATAAGGATCCTTTTCAAATGTATAAGTTTTAAAGTCTGATGTGAGTGCGTCAATTAGTATCCTTGCAATATGGAGATCCAATTCACTAAAAAAAAGAATTGTAGAAAATATTTATTCCTGGTCATCTTACACAGAGAGAGAGATAGTGAAAGAAAAGCGCCAGCAGGTGTATCAGGCATCAGCAAGAGAAATTATTCAAATTCAATTTTCTTCTTCAACGCCACAATACACACACGCACACACACAAACAAACAAAACCACTTAAAATCACATAAAGTTGACAAAGATGTTAGCTTTCATAAATTACAAAAGAATGTGAGGCTATCTCAAAGTTGTTTTAAGGGTCACATTCAGTTTCATTTAATATACTGCAACCAAAGAAATGTACTACTACTAGTAGACATATTTAACCAAATTTCTAGACCCAAGAACTATATGCGCCCAATCACTATCATACAATTTTAATAATCACCCTGTTCAATAAGAGCTAAGGATTCGGTTGAGGCATTCAAACCACTACAATAGGAGCAATAAAAGAAATGGTTTGGACCCTTTGTTCCCCTATTGAATAAAGGTATGCCAAAATCTACATCCTGCAATCATTGTGATTTCACGACAAAGTGGGTAAAGAGTAATTCACATAATCAGTACAATTTGCGATGAAAAGTACATAAACACAAGAAATAATATGATACTTCTAGCTTTTACAATTAACTTTCCATATTCAGGGAACCTCTAATTCCCAGAATGCATTTCTAGATACGCAAAAGGTGAATTAATTATTTAAACAGAATCCTCAAATAATCAATGAATGCAAGTAAAAATGATTGAACAACATGAAGTCATGAAGAATGATCAAACCTTTGCGAGTATGAAAACCAGTTGGCCTGCAATTCTTCCCCTTGTAGTAATCTCGCGGGCCCCTTTTTGAAGTGAGAATGTCAAGTGATGAGGTGCGTTTTCTTCGAAATGTCCTTCCTAACCCTAATAGCAGTCCCAATGGCATTTTTCCCTCTTTTTACACCACAATATTATCTAAAGACCTAACGGAAGGTCAAAGAAGAAAATTTTCAGAATTAGCTACACTAGACATAAGTGACATAAAATCATAAGAAACTTCTTTTTTGACAATTAAGAAAGTATTCCATTTGGGGGAAACACAAAACAGTTGCAAAGAGACTTTCTAACTAAAATTTATCAGTGGAATCAATGAAATTACCCGAGTATTTAGTAGACGCCACAAACCGAAAACAGGAAACTAAAAAAGGGTAACAACATAACAGTAATGATAATTTTAGGTGAGACTCAAAACCTCACTGCAACTAGAAGTATCTGTATATTTCCATTACTGAGTAAACCAAATATTTCATCATCAAACTTCATGATACTGCAAAATTCGTGTATGTGTATTACTGTGTGTGTAACCGATTTCCCATTTCTTGTAAACTAGAAGCCATTTGTGTTGGTTTATATAATTTGTACAATCTTGGACTGGTTAAAAATCATTAATTTAGATAGATTATATTTGTCAACAAGCTATCATCAATACACATTTCTCACTGTATATTTTTAGTTACACTCAAATATTGCAGCAAATAGATACAAATATTACATAAATATACCTTTACAAGCTGTCAAAAACAGCAACATTGACAATTAAATAGAGGAAAACCAAAAAAAAAATCAACGATATGAAAAAACATCGAATACGCACACGCACACGCACAGATATATATATATATATAGAGAGAGAGAGAGAGAGAGAGAGTTACAGTTCTGAATGTTTTGCGCAGGGCCGGCCTTGAGATTCCAATATTTTGAGAGGCCCTAGGCGAACTTTCAAATGTGAGGCCATTAAGTTTCACACGCGCAAAAAAATTATAATAGTGCAGAGTTTTCACACGATGTTTTCAAATTCTATAGCTAATATAATTGTGTGCATGTGCATTGTGCATAAGACAACTAACTAATAACTATAATCTTCATTCATTAAATCTTCATGTTCATTGAGATTTTCTTCATTTGCTTTCGCATTCATATGTTCTTCATTCACCAGATCTTCAACTAAACTCTCTGTTTGTGTATTGTTCCTAAAAAACTTATGAATATCTCCATTTTGAGATTGAATCAATTCTTCTTCTCTCTACTTTTTTTTTCTTTTTTTCATGCCCAGATTCAAATTTTCTTGTAGACAAAATGAAATCTCTTGAAATCTAAATAACAGGAACCGTAATCAACATAAAACTAGACTTCAAAAAAGTAATAATAATAATTTGTTTTGCTTAAAAAAATATATATATTACCTCAATATGCAATGATTTGATTCAAGTTCAAGGCAAATAACCTCACGAGATCCTAAGAAGAGTGTCCTGCTAGCATATGAAAGAAGATCACAATTAACATAAAACGGATGGAGAATCAAACAGAAACAATAATAACTAAGCATTGCCGATCATACAATAAATATAATATAAAAAAAAAAATTCTAAAATCAAGCAGTTTGGTCGAATGATCTCCTGGCTGGAGTTTTCACTGGAATCTGGAGGAGAGGAGGGAAGACTGTTTAAGAAGCACGAACACGGATACAGGACACGGGTACGACACGACACGGACATAGTGACACAACAAATCCAAAAAAATTATGACACGGACACGGCGGGGACACGGCGAATAGTATATATATATACGTGATGTAGTATTTTAAAAATTACTGAGTGTTACTATTTTTCATCAACCTCACAATGAAAAAAAAAAACACAAATCGTAACTCACGAGTCATAACTAATAAACTATGAAAGAACAATGTTGCATAGTTATAAAACCAAATAAAAAACAAGATATTAGAATAATAACTAGTATCATTTAGTCATCATTGCAACTTTACTCCAAATACAAAAGTATAGATAGAAAGGACTATTGACATTCATGACTCTTTAACATTCAGGACTTTACTGTTAGCACTTAACATTCACAAAAACCTAAAGGCTAGTCCCCAAAAAAGATACAAAAACAAGTCAGTGTAATATCATCTATTCCCATCCATCATTTGACCTAGGACTTTTACCATTTACAATACCCAAAGGGTAGCACACAACAAAAAACAGAACATATCAGCATTAAAAATTAAAAATAATAAATAAAAAAAAATTCTAGACACGTGTGTCCGCGCCGTGTCTGTGCTATGTCCAAGCCGTGTTCGAAAATTAAAAAAAAAAAAAAAAAAAAAAAAATTCCAGACACGTTTTTTGGTGTCCGACACGGATTCTTCGCCCATTTTGGCATGTTCGTGCTTCCTAGCAAAACAGAGTATCCAAAATACAGTCCAAAAGTGGAAAAGAGGAACAGAAAACTGCAGCTTCTTTTACATTCATTTTTTATATAGCTGCTAGAAATTGATGATTACAGATGTGAAAAATATGTGGAGATGAGGTGACTATATATATATAGGAGGCTGATCTTGTAGTGCTGAAGAAGTAGTGGGACTTTTAGGTTATATGTGGCATCCACCATCATATATAGTTTGTCTTTCACTCTTAATATTAACTACACTTTGTGTGTGTTTTTTTAGGGAGCCAATTACCCCTTTCTTGATTTCAGGATGAGGAATCAACTTTAGTAGCAGTGATTGATTGATCATTGCTTAATAGAAAAAACCATTAACTTTTGTTTTGTTAAAGCCTGCTCTTGATTTCCATGTGTTTGTACAATCTGATTGCAAGTGCTTGAAGCCAACTTCAAATAACATCAATAATCGTGGTATGTATCTTCATATAAAAATAAAAATAAAAAACCCTTAATTTGGCACTTTTAAGTATGAGCATAATTTAGAGATCGAAAAAGTTAATTATTACCTCAACCCACTAGAAGGGATCCTTAATTTTTGTGGGAGTGAATGTGAAAATGTAAAAAATTATGAGGAAAAGGGGTATGGTTGCTGCTGTTGTGAGATTGGAGTGGACTTAGGGAGAGGAAAAAAAAATTTACCTGCCACAGATTATGGACTCGATCGCCATGAAAGAGTCGAAAGACACATGTAGAAAGGCACACATTTATTAAAATCCTAAGAGAACCATAATATATTCATTCAGCTTTTGATAGCCATCACACACACAAAAACCCTAGTTTGGAAGCTACTTTTCACTATTGGAACAAAGGTAAAGGCCCGGATCAAACAAACCAAAGTTCGAACAAATCAAATGATGAGATGAACGAAAGAAAGAAACATATATAAAAGATCGATTCATGCAAGAGAAGAGAGAAGAGAGAAGAGAGAGAGAGAGAGAGAGAGAGAGGATGAACATACCTTGTCACCTGAGCCCTGAGGCGATAGCGGAGGCTGCGCCGTGCGAGTGTCGAAGCAGATTGTGTCGCTGGGGAAGACCGTTGCACTAAATGGAGGCAAACGATTCCCGGGAGAGAGAGGGTTTTTCTGGGTTTCTAATTTTCTCGCTCCTCTTATTATTTTTTTTTTTTTGGGATAATTTCAGTGACACCCGCTAATTTGGCCAAATATCAATTTAAAATATCTTTCGAAAATAACTATCACTTAGGTCCATTTTTGCTTTTCTGATTCCGTTAAAAACATGTAAAAAGACAACTTTATCCCTATTTTTATAATAACATATATTTCAAAATATCAGATTAGTTAAAAGACAATTATACCCTTGACAATGAATGAGCATTGGGTAGATGGTGCCGTTGGCCGTTGTGGTGGTAGTGGGTGGTGGTTCCAAAAGTTGAGTGTTGCAGAAGAGAAAGAGAAAGTGTAAAAAAAGATTGGTGGCTGGTGGTTGGTGGTCGGCGATGATGGAGGGTGGTGGTGGTGGTGCCGCCGGCGACTTTGGTTGCATAACCCAAACCCTTTTTGTTGTGTTAGAGAAAATGATATATTTTCCAAATTTGGAATAACCAAAACAAAATTTTGATTAGAAGTGCCTCCAATCCAGTCCCCAAACACTGTAATTGATTGTTCTGTTTTCATATTGGTGTGTGTGATAGAGAGAGAAAAAGATGAAGATGAATTAGAGGTTTTGCACCAAACACGCAGATCCACTAATAAAACCACAAAATTGATCACAAATCAACCAAGCCACACAAAACCACGGCGGCGATCTGTGACCTTCCACTTCCAATTCCAGCGACGGCGAAGAGAAGCGAACAGGACAACGGCGACGATGAGTAAACTATTTGGTGAGGACCAGCCGATCCACAGCCATCCTCTCCACCGCCGGCCACCATCTTCCAAAGCTAAGCTCGCAGCCGTTAAATCCCGTCGGTCGCCATCAAACCCAATCACGGCCCATCACCGGAATCGCGACTTCTTTAGTTGTTGATTCAATGCCGTCCCGAACCAGCCATCTCCATCGGCCGAGCACACTGCCGTCGATGTTCCGAGCACCGCCACAAGCTCACCGCCGCCTTTTTCACAGCCGACACCATCAGACCATGGCAAATACAAGCTCAGCACCCCGTCGCTGGAATTGCGCCACACGCGCCGATCGACATCTTCTTGAGGAGAGCAGTCGAGGCGTGTTGGAGGTCCTCTTTATGGCGATCGACGGCGATTGGTGGGGGTGTTGTGCTTATATGTGTGTGTGTGTGTATATATATATATATATATATATATATATATATATATATATATGTCTGTGTGTGTATATATAGGAGTATATATATGTGTGTGTGTGTGTGTATAGGAGTATATATATGTGTGTGTGTGTGTGTGTGTCTGTATATATATATATATTATATATATGTCTCTGTATGTACCGATCAGCAGGAGGAAACAAAATTAAGTTTTCTGCCTTCTTGTTACCATCCTCTAATTGCATGACACAAAGCAATAAATTAAGATATACCCAAATTGGGGAGTCAGTGTATTCATTCAACTAAGTGATCATCTTTCCAATGAATCGAACCTGAGAATCACCAGGAGAAAACGCGAAGCAATGCTGAACAAGAGAGGAAGCGTAACCTATACACGCAATGGAGAATTGCTCGACGAGGGAATCGAGATCGGGCGAAGCCGGACAATGGCATATTCCGATAACGGCGTATATAACATAATTTGTAAATTTACAAATTTTTAAGGGGCCATATTGTCTTTTAATACTGATATTTTGTAAAAAAATAAATTAAAAAAATGAGGGTAAACCAAAGTCAAGGGTCAAACCAAAGTCAAAAGGTAAAAATGTCTTTTTATATGTAAAAGTGTTCTGACATACCTGCAAACTAACTTTTGGGGTGTGAGTGAAAAACGGAGCAAACGTTTGTAACGTGAGTGATAGTTATTTTCGAAAGATATTTTAGACTGATATATGGCCAAATTAATGTGGGTGTCACTGAAATTATCCTCTTTTTTTTTTTTACATCTGGTCGGATTAGAATGGGCCAAAACCCAGTTTAAACTCTTTTATTTTATTTACCGATTGGGTGACCTGAGAGTGAGGCACAACTGATACCTGACTAAAGAAAGCAAAGCCCATTCGTTTCGGCCCAACTTGTTCAGACACAGATATGTTACCCATTTTGCGTTGAGTGCGTTAGGAGAGCCAGGAGAGAAATTTTGAGTAATTACTTTTTATAAAGAGTGAACCATGCACTTCTATGAGCACCCGACTCAGGTGTCATCAAGTTTATAATTTTCTTTTTACTCATATGATTATACATATTATTTATAATAGTATATTAAAATCTGTATCTTTCTATATATCCTGAAGAGTATGATTTAACACATATGTATTTCTTTAGATAGATCTTTTGATCATCAATGAATGAAATGAGCCTTCTCACGCCTCTGTTCACCTAGGTTCTTGGATATCCTTTGAGTGAAAGAATCTACTCCCAAAGGTAGAAGATCAAACTCTGAATTCTTTGCCTGAACCACTGGAAGAAGAAAAAAGTAGTGATAGGGAGTTCGATGGCAGACAAATCTGACTAATTTTATGTGAGTGAGGACTGATGTCATCATGACATACGATGACATCAACCACCACACACATGAATCAATTGTCCGACTTTCAAATTATAAATCATTATTGTTATTGATTTCCTATTCCATTTACATTTTTTTGAAACAAAATTTTATTTTATTAGCCTCCTTTTAGCCCCATCTTGTAAGCATGTTGGCTGGCTCCTGAATCTTGCCAACTAGAAATCTTGTGAAAGAGTACATTAAACTAGAGTAGAATAATCTCAAACATGCTTAAGTATCGTAGTTGCAGTAGATGCTTCAATAATACCATAATCAAAACGTCAAAAAACATACCAATCCTTGCAAGCTGTTTGGGTTTAGAGTCTATTTGTACTTCAACCCTTTAAATAGAGTTCGAGATCTGGTAGAGAACTTACTTGCCGAAGAAATATATATATATATATATATAGGTACAGAGTCCATTCGAAATGGTAAAAAAAAAATCATTTCGGATAACTTCTCATTGACATGGAAAAATTATCTTGCAATGTGTGTATTACAAATCAATTGACACAAAACCTCAATCGGGTATAATTCCTAGTGAAGCAGCATATGGGCTTACAAAATATATGCTGCCCTAGTTTTTCAAACTGCATTGTTGTCTACCTCTTTCAAGTAAATCTGTAAAATAATTTCCTTGTTCAAAAATATATTTTGTTGGGGTCCTGTATTTGCTAAACTAATCTTGAGCTGACGAGAATGGAGCACAGCACGAAGAAATATCAATTCCAGCAACCTCCATGGCATTGCAGACCCATTCAGGAACATTTCCTTTGGGAAACTACAAGAAAATATCAACATCAAAAGGTTCAAGAACTCATTGCAAGTCATTACGTCTAAATATACAGTATATAAACAGTAGATCCTCGGTATGCAGTAAGAACGATCTTCAGAGTAATATATAGAGGCGACAACATTGAAGATGTAGAAAAATAGATAAATGAAAAATAGATATAACATATATATGTACATACACACATGTTGTAACAGTGAAACATTATGAATAAACAGGAATTTAGTTGCATTTACCCACACTCTATAATGTCAATTGCTTATTGCCCAAGCTATCAAAGAGACAACCACGGACAAGATTTCCAAGTGCAGAAATGAACTTGAGGCTACAGGTTTCAGCAAAATGATGCATTAAATTAAGTTCTTAAGGTTTATTCGGATTTTGTTTGTGGCCTGAACAGACTCGGATTATTCTGAATTTTAGTATTTGGTAGTTTTTAGTGATTAGGTTTCTTATCCTATTTTTTTTTGTACGTCTAGAGACAAATGGATTTTAGGCTTATTTTTAGCCATCCATGTGTTGTTAGGTTTTCTTTATTATAAATACATGTATTGCAAAGAGCATATAATCCATTCGTTAACAATATTTCAGAATTCTCTTTGCTTATACTTTGTGGATTCAAAGTTGTTCTCTTGTTCAATATTAAACGCTCATAACTTCCACTCCATCAATTGGCTGAAGAAGCGGAAGCCAAATACGTTCGCAAAGGAACATTAAAGCAACTTTGAATTCACAGAGTTTATAGAAACCAATTCTGAAATTTTATTAATGAATGATGAATTGTCCCCATTTGCTCTTGCAGTACATGTATTTATAGTAGATAAATCCTATAAACAGAAGGAATCCTAAAAAACCAAGCCCAAAATTGAACTATCTCAAAAAAATATCATGAGAAAAAGGAGATAAAATCTAATCAGTAAACTAAGATAAATACCAAAAAATCAGAATAATTCGACTTTGTTTAGACCTTCAACAAAAAACTCGAAATATCAGTCTTCCTACAGGACTAAAAAACATGATTTATAGTCCCTAAACGATGGAATTTGGCCTAAAAATTACATGGGTTTAGCTAGTGGGTTTTGATTATTGGGTCGTTTCTGATCGATAATGGGTTTCCTCAAGTCAAAACAAACTGTACCAAAGGAATAAATACATTATTTTGCAACTGAATTTCTAATGACTTGGATATAAAACATATTACTATCAGGAAAAGTACCAAGGCTGATGAATTTTGAAGAATGGAATAACCAAGGAAAGGCATACCAATATTAGCAACACAGATAAACATATATTAGTAAAAAGGCAATAAAAATTCAATGACAATAGTTCACGATTGGTAATACGGTAAAAGTTAGATAACATGCGCAAAGAAAAAGAGAAGAATACAAGGCAATTTTCAGTACAATAAATACCATTTTCAGCAGGAATCCGCATACAAACCTGTAGAAACAAAAAAGAAAAAAAGAAGGGATTTATAAAATGAAATGAAAATGTATGACCGGTTCGCAGAAAGAACAAAAGAATAAATATATAAACAAGGAGGTTGGGAGCAAAAATAGGAAAAGCAACATACTCGGGAAACCGTCCATGTATTATCGACAAGTGTAGATCTCTGCTAAGCTGCAAAATGATTTTACTTTTGAACGTAAGTAATAAAGTGAAGATCAGATTTTTATATTTATTCTTTTTTTGGGGTAGGTAAGGTGCTCAAACACCCACTATTGTCCCCGTGGGAACTAGACAATCAACCTTCCATGTGGGAGGAGGAGGCAATACCACTTGAGTTAAAGGCACAGAGGTAAAACCTCAGAAATTTACTACATAAAATATTTCTGGGTCTGTACCTTCATCATGTAGTACAAATTGTGATAAGACAGAAGCTGAGATCCCATAGCATCTTTTGTAACAAGGCAATGGATGTAGGCCCTTGTATAGGTTTTGCAGACCTACAGCAAGAAAAATAGATTGACTAAGATATATACCGCAAACTCAGCATGTAATTAGTGACCAAAGCCAATGAGCATCCAATTACGGGCATACCATACACGTGCAGGTAGGATCAATAGGACGAACATCATTGGCCATTGCATTGTGTTTAAGTTTTAAAACTCCCTGCATGAACAACTCTATATTAGCAGAAGAACAAAGAGAAAAGAAGAGGAAGGGGTATAATTGCCAGTTTTAACTTCTCTTGCACAGTGTAAAATTCAGGTGCATATAAAAAAAAATACACACTTCTTCATTGACAAGTAGAGTTATAAGAAACAAAATACTCTTTCTGTGTTGAGCCCGAGAGTGACTAAAAGCTACAATATGCATAATGTCAATTTTTGCTAGTCTTCAAGAAGAAAACATGCAGAAAGAATATATATAAATATATATATATATATAAAGGGCATGCGGAGAGACTGTTTCCTTGATTTGAACCCGTGGCCTTCAGGTCACAATGCAAGAAGAATATATGTGATATATATTTACATTTAACACGTTCATGAATCTAGGAAAAACAAGGTTTCTTACAATAACAACAAGGTCACATTTAGTTGAATAGAAACCAAGGGAAGACAATCCAAGCAAGACATTAAACTGAAACGCTGCAAGTAAGGTGATGTACTTTCCAGCGACTCAATAAAATAAATTCCAGTACAGTTCGACAAAAATCAAATAATCATTATAACCAAATAACTGGATTATAGAAACTCTGATTCCCTCTGGTAAGTTATAATGAGTATGATGCATGAGGGTCCCGAGTGCATGAGAAGGTCAATTAGGTTCATCAATAAATCAATTTCATGATAGCATTACCCAATCAATGATATCAATTATTCTGCTTTAGTGCATGACTTAGACACTGTTACAAGGCCTTTTAGTTGTTAGTCATTTGACATGATGATGAACACTTAAATGTGTTAAAACATATTTTTGCTCAACAACGCACAAATATGATCTTTTTTGGTATATAATATAGTTTATATCTTTGCTCCTTTTTTGTAATGTAATAAAAAATACACTTACCCACCAAAAGAAGGTGGATCTTTGTTTTTGTATACTGAAAATGAAACCTCTTGAAGTTCATATCTTTTAGTTCCATCCTCAATTTACCGTGCTTATATTTCCCCATTATCTTGTTGATATACACTAGCTATAGAGCATTACATTTCCAGTATTCTATTGAAATCTTTTAAATATTTTTTCCAGCACAATACCATGAAAGGGAAACCTGTTTCGATGTCAAAGAAGGATCTGAAGGCATACTGCATCCAGATATTGGTAGCAAGAGAGAAAATTTTCAAACTAAACTGATGTCGGAATGAGAAATCAACAAAACTTAAATCACTCTTTTGAAGACAAGTCATAAAATTATTAACAAATTTATCAGTCCAATGGAGTAAATCGATCCTTTAAATTTTCATAAATGGTGAAATGTTGGCTGTTAGGAGAGTATTGGCAAGAATTTATCAAAATAAAGTTCATATAAAATGTATGTGAAACAAGAAGTCGTCACCTCAGGAACAAGAGCTGTGCCAAAGCGAGCAGTACGGGTAGGATAGACACAGTCATACATGTCAGCACCCAAAGCACTGCAAACTACAATATCCAGTGGATAGCCAACGCCCTGCATAATAGTGGGTGCTGGGTAAGATAACATGGAAAATGAAAAAGGTCAAAGAAGAGAAAGAGACACAGTTCAAACAATTCAATATAGTTGAAGGTGCTAAAATGATGAGAGTCATTTGTACCATGACATATCTTGGTTTATCCTCAGGCAGTGCAGCAGTACACTGAGCAACAACACGCCAAAATGAATCTTTATCTTCACCGCCTGCAAGACCACCAATAGCATAGCTGTCACAGAAGTAAACTCAGTTATTTCAATCCCATGATTGCTGAACCACCAAGCTACTAATTTAATTTTGAAGGAAAATAGTGTCAATGGGATCAATTCCATCCCTTAAAAATACCTCTACAAAAATTAAATAAGGAATTGGAAACACAAGTCTAAGCTTGAAGTATACAAAGAAAGAAGAAAACATAAAGAAATTAACTCCAAGCCATCCAAACAATCTAAAATAAACCCAGCCAAGCAATAATTTACCAGCCAAAAAGGCCATTACCTAGAGTTGGCCATGCCTATACGAGGTGCTGGGAAGGAAAGGCTTGAGTTAGAACTAATATTTGATATTATTTTGCATAAAGTGGCTGCTGTCACAGTCAGACTCAAACCTACATCCTCTTGCTTGTTAGGTTGAACTTTTACTATTGCACCAAGCAATGACCCTTAAATAAAATGATCTCCCAGCCATGCACAAAAATATAGATCTCAAAACAGTGTTACAATCAATCAATACACAGTTCACTTCACTCACTCTAAAGTCCTATTCCTCTTTTTCCTCACACATCAGGAAAGGAATAATAGAGCAGCTCCACAATCTTCCCACAATGTTACATGGAAACATGCAAGTCTGTCGTGTATGGACATGTGTCTAAGTTACAGATCTATCAAATACTTAATTCCAAGACTAGGGGAACACGTCTATGTATTCAGTTTTTTAAATAATCTCTTTTGTTTCCCAGAATAAAATAATACTTTTATGTAATATAGAGTAGCAACATAGGCACTCCAGCTATTTTGAATCAATAACGCAAGGAAGGGAAATTTGAATAATGAATAGTTATAAACTTGAATTATCCATCGTGCTTGCTACATGCATGTCCAACCAGACATGTCGAAAACATATCCCATCCCCAAGTGTCATATGTTCGACATAGGTGCTTCACGAATTTATAATAATCCATGTGACATAATTTTCTGCTTTTGTCTGTCATCGTACCACAAACAGAAACCTCAACTGAAGCAAATGGACAGTCCTTGGCAAGACCCAACCACCCAAAAAAGAGAGAAGGAGAGAGCACAACTCCCTCACTGTTGTACAGTGCTAGAATAAGTGATCAACTGTTTCTTCATCTCCTTTACACAAGCGACACTAACAGAAAAGAATTTGATGCCTCAAATTACCAATTGCAATTTTTTTTTCAAGTGACTGCCAACCAAAAAAAAAATTGGAAGAGAATTTGTCCTCCGAATTTCTTTCCAAGGAAACCAAGATGGAGTACCCCCTATCAGCACCATCACCTTGACTCTTCCATTCTTATCATGATTCCGCAACATTACATCCTCACTGCCCTAGAAACATGCAGCATGTTAAAAAAGAATACATTGCTTCAAGCTCCCAATCTTCAATAGTCTTCCAAGACCTTGGCTCTTAAATCAGCCCTCAATCAGAGAATCTCATATAGTACACACCATAGCCTCCTTATACACCACAATCACAAATACTATCAATACATAGAAAAACACCTAATATCCAACAAAATAAAGTAAATCACGAATTTCTAGATTTCTCACTGAAAACATAAAGAATAGACAGAGAATGGTGTACTTTGTCTCTAATTGTAAACATATGTCCAACACCTACTAATCTTTAAGCACAAGTTATTTTAAAAAGGCTAAACCAGAAAACCTTTTTTTTTCTTGGTAAGTACCAAACTAGTGACTTCCCGTGTAAAACAGGTAATAATTTTAGAGAACATCGAGTACATCGAAACCTCATCATCCTTGTCTGCAAGCTGCTCATTAATTTTGTAAGAGATAATGGAAATGCGAGAAATACAGATATGCACAAGCATCAAAACTAGGGACTGAGAGTAGTATACACATACCCAGGTAAATTCCGGTCCACCAAACCTTTGACACATATATCCCTGATAAAAATAAATTGTAGTATAATAACTACCATCAAAAATAAAGAAAATAAAGTAATGAATATACAGCAGAGTAAAGTTTCAGAGAGATTATTATAGATTGAAGTGACATTCACCTTAAGACGGGATCTAAACCACCTTGCACAATACCAAATAAATTCTGCTCATTTGGTCTCTTGTGAGCTGTAGTTCACAAAAATTAACATTGCAGAAAATGTTTAATAACTGAATCAAAAGGCAATGAATACATTAAAAGAATCCACTGGATAGTAACCCAAGGAAAATTAGGGATCTAGAAACAGAAGGTCGCTTGCCAACAAATGAGCGCCAGAAAATTACCCATGAAAGACTAGGAGATCCCAGAACTAAGAATGCATGCCCACATAAGAAATATTTAAGCAAATGACAGGTCCACACTACATGTTGCATTATTCTAGTGCACTTGTAACAAATCCACCAACCTAACCAATAGATTCTACCTTCAAATGAAAGCTTTCACAAAAATCAAACTGGCTTGGTATGCTGCCATCTGACCCAGAGTTCCTGAGCGGCTGAGCCCAAAGGACACGTCTTCTAGCTCATGAGCCCAGGTGGGTCAAGGTTGGACAGCACTTGCTTCAATTTGGATGGGTATGTATAACATATGTGAAAGAAACATGTCTGCCAATCTCCTATTAGATGTAGCTACCTGCTATACACCTGTCTATCCAACGAAGAGTGCGATACATAGCCTCTTCAATTCGTGGGCCTGTAATGGTGGTTTTCACAACATCATCGAGAGCCATAATGATATCTGCTCCAATTCTGTTCTGCAGAAGTTGTTCACAGATCACATAAGATATTTGACAAGGAAACACTATATTAACAAATACTGAATGTATAAATTAAAAGAAAAAAATTTAAAATTTTTATAACGCGCTTGTCACGATTGTCGTGTTCTATATGCAAACCCCATAAACAACGCAATAAATTGAAAAGGGTAAATTATACTGACCTCCCCTGATGTTTGGGCAAATTACACACGGATAGAGCGTTTGGCCTTTATTACTTTTGCTAGATAATAACTTCCGACATTGACATCAATAATCATATGCAATTCATGGATCTCGAAATGAGCATTTCCTCTTTAAAAAGATAAAAGAGATCTCAACAATCACTTGTTTCTTTTTAGTTTTTTGATCCATCTGAAAGTAGTAAATTTCAGAAAGAAATTTTTGTATTTCCAATCTTATGGGAAGTAACATCCCTAAAGCTAACCAAAAGAACTCCTAATTCAGCATCCCTTAAAGCTTTCCAAACAAACAAAAAAAATTGGAAATAGATATATTTTGGATGGAAGGATCTGATGCAGTGCAAATGGAAGAGGACTTTCTTCAAACAGTTAAAGATCCTCAGACAACTAGTCAATAATCTGTCGACCAAAGCAAGCAATGAGCGCCGGATCCCTCTACTTTTTTGAATGAGGCCATGGGATGGGTTACACTAATGGTTTGGAAATGATGAAAAATAGTCAAACTGCTCTATATGCCTTTAATTTATGGGAAGACCTTGACAACCATAGCTTCAGATATAAAACAGCTTCTTTTTTTTTTTTATTTTTTTATTTTTAAGTAAAAATATATTAGAAAAACGTTCAAAAGGCGAACGTGTCCCTAATACAAGAATAAAAAAGGTCTAAGGACCAATGGAATCCAAGAGATCAAAGAAATCATCAATCGAGGAACATGCACTTCCTCTTACATAAGAGAACAGAGAACGAAGAATATGAATTTTTAAAGTAGCTAAAGACGATTCTTTTCCTTCAAAGGATCTGTTATTCCTCTCACGCCACAAGCACCACCACACACAATGTGGAACAATCTTCCAATAATCCCAAGCTTGTTCTTTGACAGGACACCTTTCCAAGCGTTAATCAATTGAGAGGAGTGCTTAGGCATTACCCAAAACAATTTTATGAGCTTACTAATATAGAATCCTATCACATAGCAAAGCTGTGCAAGGAATTTTGGTACGAAAAGTATCCTGACATACTGAATCTCATGAAGTTACTTAACCTCATTGGATGGTGGTGTTCCGTCTCCAATTTACCAGTGCTCTATAGTACGCCCATCCTGACTAGGCTGAGTTTCCATTAATAGGGGCAGCTGATGATGTGATCAGATTGTGCGATTGTTTATTGGTCTAGAGTCATTTATATAAGTATTAAGTCTCTCTTTATTTCATATTTAGGATACTATTGTCATTTTCGTTTTTATTTTATAAGTCATGTGCCTTTTAAGTGAGTCATGTGACTATTTAAGGTCTGTTTTGTCATTTTTAGCTTTTTATTCTGCTAGAGAGAATACTAGCTTTTAGATTACATTTATTTGAAGGGATGTGATTATATCTTTGCTAAGGCATCCATTGTGTCTTATAAAAGGGTTGTCCCAAGTTGTATTCAGCAGCTTTTTGATGTATTATCAACATTTTCAGTCTGCTGTAGCAGCCTATTACCTCTCCATTTCTTTGGGATTGAGTTGTGGGTGTTTAAGCTATTTTCTCGCTTGAATTAGCTCTCTATGTTTTCCTTCTTTAGATTTATTTTCTTTCTTTCATAGCTGATTGTATTAATTGGTATTAGAGCAAGTTCTGGTCCAGTGGTTTTGTGTTGAGATATTAGATATCTCTTTTAGGCTTTGCAACATGCCACCAAGGAGAAGAAATCCACTTCGCAGACCAGCCGTTCAGCCTCGTCAGGACACAGCTGTTGATCAACAACAAGTGCTTGCCGTGATAGAAGATTTAAGAAGGCAGATTGAAGCTTTAGCCCTGCGCGTTGTGCAAACCTAAGCCCCTTCTCAAGATGGTATCAAATCTGAGGAGGAGGATAATCTGGAAGATGATTTAGTTAATCCTTTTTTCGGAACGGCAACACCGAGACCAGCACTTCTTCCATTTGAAGAAAGGCGTTGTGATGGTGGCTTTAAGGTGAAAATTCCAGAATTTGTAGGATATCTTGGTGGAGAAGCAGAGGAACCTATTTATGATAAGGATGACGAGTCCAATGAGAACACTTTCGTCAATCATGAGAAGCCACGTTTAGAAAGTTTTTATCACGATTCCAAGAATGATTCAACATATGATGAGTCATGGTTGTTCATAACATTGACTACAACAGAACCATTTGTTGACTGGAGTAAGCCTCTAATTTTTTATTTAGAACCACACATTGAATCTATGGATCTGGTAAAGAAGCTACAAATGAAGAATCTCAAAATGAAGGAAGCTATGATATCGTGGTGCTAACAAGAGCAATGGAGAACAATGAAGTGTTTAACCTTTCACCAGCGGAAGTTTTGCAAGAATACTAGTCTGATCACTTATTGGTGTTTGAAGATTTGAGCACTAAAAATGGATTTCACTTTTATGATATGATTTGGAGTGAATTCTGGGAACACACTACACCTGCAAGGCAGCTGGTGGAAGAAAAGTTAATTAAACTTCTAGTTCAGGATACGTGTTCGACCGAATTTTGCGAATCCCCAATTTCAAAGGAAATCTAGCAAAGTCCATGTAATCTTTGTTAGTACAAGAAGATTGTTGTATTTGATTCAATTCCGGACAAGAAGAAAGAAGGGATGGAACACCATGCTCAGATTTTGGATTGGTCGTGGAAATTTGCTTCTAACTCAAGGACGAGTTTTCTCTCACCTGGAGGGACTAATGCAGTGCAAATGGAAGAAGACTTTCTTCAAACTATTAAAGATCCTCAGAAGACTATGCTGAGTTTCCATTAATAGGGGCAGCTGATGATGTGATCAGATTGTGTGATTGTTTATTGGTCAAGAATCATTTATATAAGTATTAAGTCTCTCTTTATTTCATATTTAGGATACTATTGTCATTTTGGTCTTTATTTTACAAGTCATGTGCCTTTTAAGTGAGTCATGTGACTATTTAAGGTCTGTTTTGTCATTTTTAGCTTTTTATTCTACTGGAAAGCATACTAGCCTTTAGATTACATTTATTTGAAGGGCTAGGCAGTGACGGACCCAGGAAATTATGTCAGGGGGGGCGGCCTTTTAATAACAACATATATATATATATATATATATATATATATATATTTATTTATGTTGTTATTTATTTGAAGGGCTAGGCAGTGACAGACCCAGGAAATTATGTCAGGGGGGGTGGCCTTTTAATAACAACATAAATAATATATATATATATATATATATATATATTATAGTGGGTACTGTGTTTGTGGGTGTCATGTATGTGAGAGAGAGACATGGATTGCCAGATGGAGGTAGGGGCTGGTCGGTGATGGAAAGAACTGCCGAAGGCAGAAGGCCTGAAGGCTGAAGCTATATTGTCTATATATGTTTGCGCAGGAGACAGAGATGAGAGAACCAAAGTGTGAAAGAGTAAAGTTGTAGGTAATAAAATAATATTTTGGAAACGTATATAGTGGGGGGCATTTGTGAAATTTCAGGGGGGGCATGGTATAAATTTTTTAAAAAGTCAAGTATATAATACAAAAAAAATATATATATATATTCCAGAGGGGGGATTCGCCCCCCCTGGTCCCCTTAAAGGTCCGTGGCTGGGGCTAGGATTATATTTTTGCTAGGGCATCCCTTGTGTCTTATAAAAGGATTGTTCCAAGTTGTGTTCAGCAACTCTTTGACGTATAATCAATATTTTCAGTCTGTTGTAGCAGCCTTTTACCCCTCCCTTTCTTTGGGATTGAGTTGTGGGTGTTTAAGCTATTTTTCTAACTTGAATTAGCTCTTTGTTTTTTCCTTCTTCAGATTTATTTTCTTTCTTTCATAGGTGATTGCATTAGGATCCATAGAAGCCAACAAATTCTCAACTCGCCCAGGTTTACAAACAATCAATTATCCAAGTCTGACAAAGTCTAGGGGATCGGACAGCAGAGAACTAAACTATTGCTGCAGTCATGCATAGTATATCAAATTATAAAAGAACTTCAAAATGGTGATAGTAGAACTTTTTTGTATGATATATCTGAATTGGAAATGGAAAGTTACACAACATCAGAGTACTAATTAATATTATGTAACCAATACAGCCATATGTGTCCATGAAGAAGAGGGAAAGACAAGTTTAAAAAAAAAAAAATGTATCCACATGTAATGGCCAGAACATTTATTTTGCTGTTATTATACCACATACTGAAACTTAATTAGACACAAAAACTCCCCAATTCTAGGAAGACTTGTGAGTTCAGGCATAAAAATTATAAACCCGGAACAAATAAATAAAAAAAAGAAACGCGCAAAATTTACCCACTTGGATTTGAATTGATTCCTCGGGTGTTAGAAGCATTGGCTTTCCATCAACAGGTGACTGCAGTAAGAAAATAAGGATTTAGTTACAAGCAACATCAAAAAAGGGGTGCACTCTGGATACTTGGTTAGTTCAAGAGTGAAAATAAATGAACACGAAAATTTCATAAAAGTTGAAACAGGTAGAACATTAGCTAAGTAACAGCAAATTGACCATCGAGTATGCCATTGCAGATGAGAATTAAGCATTAGTACAAGATGGAATCATAATTATGGGCTAAGTTAACTTTCAATGTATTTAACGACCCTAACAATGTAAACCCATATCTTATATTTTGTTAGTTGATGGACTTACCTAATTCATAATAACACCCACGAATGCACACACGCCCACATACAAGAGAATGCAGTGTATGTCCATGTCTAAATACAGCTTTCATGTCAACGTGCAATCCAAACACCCTGATATGACCTAATTAATCCTCCAGAAGCAGAAGGAGCCCAATTGCCAATGGGGAAAACATTTGTATTAACTTGCATCACTCTTGCCAGAAAATGACCAGGCAATCAGGAAGTTTATTCCACCATCCAATCTGATCTCCGAGGCATTTACGTGGTTGCCATCAAACTTGAACATGCATTACGTACTTAACAGTCTGAACTTTCACCATTGCGCCAAGGCTTTTCCTAACCATATGGGTTTTACTTCACAAATTTTTTTGGTATATCCTATGAATACGTAACTACAAAACAATGTGTGCATCCAACAAAGATGATGCATGAGTGAATAAATGACAAATGATTGGGTACAAATTCAAATGTCAACAACAAAGAGATTGTAATAACATAAAATTCTATACATAGACCGAGAGGGGCATCAAACATATATAAGGAACAACATGCAGCAACCTTGTTTTACAGAACACAAATACAGAAATATTACAATTTAATTTAGTGCACCATCACAGTACACTGTTTGCATGCCATACAGGTTCAGTTACATCAGTAACTAAAATGAAAATAAAAAAGTACCTGAAATGTGACACCTTTTTCTGTTATGTCAGCCAAATGTAATAATGAGACCTGAAAACATCAGAAAATTTGAAAGCTTAATTGCATATACTATCACTACTCAGGCCTATTGCCATAATAAGCTTTAATGGAGATCACATCACTAAATCTATTGCCATAATAAGCTTGCATCACTGGAATGACAAATCACATATGCAACTACAATTCAGCTACTTAAACTACTTTGAGTAAACATCCTGAAGTGATTCTCCCATGCTTTTTGTTTGCTACAACACTATCGATATGAATGGGCAATGCAGTTGCAGATGTTCTCCTAACCCATTTTTCATTATACTAATGGCAACAGTTGAGTTACAAAACAGATGAAATGGTATTACAGAAAGGAACCTAGAGCAAACAATTCTCCATCAATAACACTACCGTCTAGTAAGATAACGAGCAATTTAGTTTTATTACTACATGGAATGCCCATTGTTTCCTCTATACATGTCAAATAAAACCACTATCGTCTCTGCCAAACAAAGTTCTGAGAAGTTTGACCGAATCAGGAGACAACAGATAACTCAATAAACTAAGATTATGTAACAACTTAAAATGTTGTGGATTTGAATTGTTGTGGATTTTGTGTTTCATGGTTTTCAAACCATTAGGAAGAGAATAAATGCATTGATCAAGGAAAGATTCAGAACATCCAAATAACATTTCTATTTTTTAAGACAAGTAAATTGCTTGAGAGCAGCCAAAACCTTCTCACTCTGGCATATTGTGTATATTTTATGACTGCGAGCTAAAGAACGTATGGATAGCAGTTCTTTAGATTGGACTACTTTATCAATTTTGAGCAATCTACCACGATTTCAGAAATGTGATGCAAACAGTAGATGAGCCGGCCCTATGGCAAATTGACAAAGCTTCCTATTGAAACATATAACATTACTTGAACCAAATAAGATAGTTCAAGCAATAAAGCAGGTAGACATAAACGTATCCAAAATTGTCTGAAAATAATAATAATAAAAATATAAGTAATTAAAACTGTAAGTTCATATCCTTGAGTTGTATGAGGAAGCTAGGAATAAAAATATAAATAAACTAGGACAGTCTGCATTTTTTTATAAATAAACGAGGATAGTGTGAATTATAATACTAACATCAAAAAACAATAATAAAGTAAAATCAGAGATATATAGTATCATATCAAATCATGAAACACAACCATCTGAAAGCCACCAGAGTCAGTAAGCAGTGCTCTTGGCCAGTTCATAAATTTGTGGAGACCCCCCAACTCGTCAATTAGTTCCGAAGTAGGACGAAGTGCCAAATGATAAGTATTTCCAAGTATTATTTGGCAACCAATCTCCTCAAGCTGGTTAGTTGCCAAACCTTTGATTGTCCCTGTAACCATGAAACCCCAAACTTGTCCCATCAACACTACATACAAACATAATTGTGTACGAAAGTGTGCAGATATGTATGTTAAGTTTAAGAAACCATAGTCCACAATAAATTGTTTCCTATGGAATATGTAAATACAAAGTATTTGCACCAATGACCATTATGACCATGTTATCTATCCTACAAATTAGACCCTGCATGGACTAGGACCAGAGATGCTCACAGCACATGCCACTGAAACGTAATACTCAACCTCTGTAAAAATATTTAACTTATCAATTTAATTGGGAGCTAGCGTCTATTCAGTGAGACAAAATAAACCAAGATTTCAATGATTTGACGACCAATTAACCATTTGCTCAACTACAATCGGTTATTGATATAGACATTGGTCATGAACTTTTTAAAATGTTTTTATAATTCCAATTAAAGATGGAAAGGTACATTATCTTAGCCTACTGGGGAACTGTATGCAGAGGCTACTGTATGCTGAGTGATTATATGATAATTGAAACTCTAACCTTGTGTACCGACGGGCATAAACAGAGGTGTCTGGCACACAAAGTGAGGGAGTGTCAGTTGAGCTGCACGAGCGCGGTTAAACCTCCCAAGAATCTAATGCAAGAAACACAAAAGCATAGTTCCCAATTAACAAACAGAAAACGAATATACTAAGAAACAATTAAGTTCATCAGTTCATGGACCAATCAGGTAATGTGCGTGAATTTTCTTTGCCTGCAAACAAACATAGCAGTTTCTTTGATATGAGGAAAGCATTCCAATACGATGAGAAAGTGATGCTGAGTAACAAGAAGTAAGAGTTAAAACCCTCTAAGTTAAAACCCTCTAATGAACCAACAATCGCCTATAATTGTTCTTCTTTTAAGCATCAAACTTCAGACAAAATCTTGCTTCTCTTGTCTATCACAAAGGAAATATAACATAGAAGAAAGAGAAAAGAAATATGTAAAAGGTTTGAATGAGATGTATAAACATTCATTCACAACTCTCATATTTATATACTAAAAAGAGCACATGTTATAGTACAATAAATGAAACTAAATAAAATCATTGCGTATTCTATGCCTAGACATATGCGTAAATAAAGTCAACTACATGATTTGTGGCTATCATATCTCACAGATAATATAGTAAATCACATCCCATGATTTGGGCCTATCATATCTCGGCTAACACTCCCCCTCAAGTTGGTGCGTGGATGTCTGAGACGCCCAACTTGGACAATGCATCCTTAAACACGGTCTTACCAACAAGTGCAAATATGATTAGCGATGCTTTTATGTCAAATGAAGTGCCGATCAATAAATCAAAGTGTCTCCTCAGACCATAAACATTCAACAATGTATCCTCAGAGCCAAAACAACCAACCATGTCCTCAGACCGTAAACAACCAAAAATGTCTCCTCAGACCATTTCCCTCCATACACATGGTTAAAATATGTAGATAGAAAAATCAACAATGTCTCCTCAAACCATTCCCCTTCATACATATGTTTAAACAATGTAGATGGAAGAATCGACAATGTCTCCTCAGACCATAAAAAAAACAACCACGTCTCACACCATTTCCGAATGGGTGGTTTCGAACTTACAATGCCCTCATTGAGGTCGGACAGCCCTGCCTACTTTACACCTCCCAAATAGGGGATGTCTCCTTAGACCATTCTCGAATGGGTGGTACCGAACTTGCAATGCCCTTATTAGTCATTGCAGTCGGACCAGCCTGGCTTTGATACCAAGAATAAATATAATATAGAAGAAGGAGAAGAAAAATATGTAAAAGGTTTGAATGAGATGTATAAACACTCATTCACAATTCTCATATTTAAATACTAAAAAGAGCACATGTTAATATTACAGTAAAGGAAACTAAATAAAATCATTGCATATTCTATGCCTAGATATATGTGTAAATAAAATCAAATCCATGATTTGGCTATAATATCTCAAATAATATGGTAAGTCACATCCCATGATTTGCGCCTATCAAATCTCGGCTAACAATCACAAACTAAAATAATAATTAAAAGAAACCGATGTTTCCTGTATTAAGCTAGCCATCATATACTTTGGAGCCGATATTCCCAAAAATTTCACTTGAGCAACAAAGGAAACCTTTTATTCTTTTTCATTTTTCTTTTCTTTTTTGAATTCAATCATGATATGTCATTTTAAGTTCATTGCATTTTCAAATTCACCCTAATATTTCTTCTTGCTTCGCTTCAAATTCCATCATAATATGTCTCTCCGAATTCATTGCATATTCAAATTCATCATTAACAACCAGGGATGGAGCCAGTTAAGGCTTGGGGGGCATGTGCCCCCCTCAACTTTAAAACTTTTCATTTTGTATGTTTGATTCTTTAAAATTTAAAACTTTCCCCCCAACTTAAAAAAATTTCATTTTTGTATCTATATTTCTTTAAAAATTTTAAAATTTCCCCCCTAAACTTTAAAAAATTTCTTTTTTATGTAAAATTTTAAAATTGCCCTACCTTAAAAAAATTTATTGCATTTTGCCCCCTAAACATAATTTCTGGCTCGGTCCCTGTTAGCAAACCTCTAACAATTAAAATGTATCTATGTAATGTTCTAAAGCAAACAAATCTAAAATCATCCCAATTACCAAACATAATCAAAGACCATAAATTTCACAATGACAGTCAAAGCCTACCTCAAACCGCAAAGCCATTGAGTAAAGTTCCGTCGATTTGATAGTAGCCAATCTATGAAACTGTCATCAAAAAATAATTAAAACATATGCAATAGTATTAATACAATCACACAACATATTTAAGAAAATATCATGGTAATGTGGTAAGAATGTAGCCTCAGTATTGCAATTTTGACAAGCTGATGACTACACAATACATATACATATATATGTGTGTGTGTATACTAAATACAGATATATATAATATATACAGAGAGAGATGGGTACATAGAGATTGAGAGGTTAAAGACTTACAGTGATAGTCTGTGCCGGAGCCGGAGTTGAGAACAGTGAGCAATGAGTGCGTTAAGTATTGGGGGCGGCTAAGCAAAGAACGTGCCGGCCAAGCGTTTCTTGGGTTTAAATTACAGTACTTTGCTATCTTTGGAACAAGGTGTGTAGTGGAACAAAAGACAAGCGGTCAATTATGTACTACATTTTTATCCCCGATACAGAGGTTAGGGTTTGGACTTTGACCAACTGCTTTTTTTTATTACTATTGACTTCTCCAACAAGGGTAGTCATCCAACAAGGGTAAACCCTATAAATAATTATATTATTATTTTTAATAATCCTTGCCAACCAAAAAAATGAATATTTTTAATAATCCATATTTTACTATTTCTTTGCTAAAAGAAACAATTGAATATAAATAGTATTCATCTAACATAAATTTTTTATTTAATATTTGAAATTATATGGGTATTTTGGTAAGTATAATTATTTTATTTTCCTTTTCATATTATTCACACTAATGAAATAATATTTTCTCCCAACTTTTATAAATAAAATAAAATAAAATAAAAAAAACATTCTCCTAATCACATCCACAATAGAAACTTGATTTTGCTCTATTTCACTCTCACTTTTCATCATAAATTCATGTCTAACCAAACCGATCCTAAGGAAAATTAAAAAATTGAACTGAAACTTGTTTCTTGGTTAATTTTTACTTAAAATTTATTTTCATAAAACGATCTTTTAGAATTCTCTTAAAATACTTTACTAAAAATAAATTTTTACTTAAAATTATTTTCAAAAAACTGAATCAATTATGCTCGTAGGGTTTTAAGTCCTTGTGAGAACAAAGAGATTCTGGGTTTTTATTGAGACCAAAAAGGTTAGTGTGATAGATGAGTTTCACATAAAAATTTAATAAACGGATTTTGCACTAAAATTTTCATCTTAGGCATACACGGCACGTGTGGAGAGTAATCCAACAACATACCTTGCTCAACTTGCATTATAAATATGGCTCATTTAAGTCGGAGCAAAGGTCCTGCACCAATATACTTATTATATATTGTCCCAAGCTTGCTTCTACATCACTACATTGCATATTGTTCCCAGTGGGACTCAAACACTTGTTTATTTCGAAACTTGCTTCTACGTGTAGCAATAAGTTCAATCATTGCAGTTTACTTTCAATAGATTGTATAGTGTCATTTATCACCTTTAATAATTCGTATTTAGTGTTTTCTTTAGACAAAGATTCTCTTCATTGAATTGATAAATAGAATTTATTAATAATGATGTAATTTTAACCACCAAATTTTGTACAGACCTCTTTTACACTGGAGATAATTTTTATTCATTTTTTTTTTTTAAGTGTAACGATTACTTTTAATCGTTATTTAAGCTTTAAATACTACTAGTATGCTCGTGGAGTATAGGTGGGCTTTAACTTTGATAAATGTAATTTGGACCTATTTATTGTACCTGACAATGAATTGCAATCTATCTCCATCAACTTTCGAAGTTAATGATCAAAAGTAATTTTTTTTTTTCCTTTCTTGTTAGTGCTTTTGATTGGTATGTTTGACTTTTGTCCCTCGAGAAATTATATATATATATATATATATATAAGGTAATTTACACATACCTTTCTTATAATTTACTATAATTACAGGCGACACCCTTTCTGTTCCGAAAATTACTCGGATCTCCCTTACTTTTTAAAATATCCTACACGGACCTCCCTTATCTGTGACGGACCGTTAAATCGACTAACAGAGCTGTCGAAATTACTGAAATACCCTCTCATTGCCATCTGAAATGACGAAACTACCCTCTTATGACATCAGCTTCTCAGTTACACAACTATTGATTCATTTGGATGGAAAACTTGCATTAATTGTGTCTGTTTCCCAACGCAGGTCTTTTCATCTGTCTTACCAAAGTGGTGCCGTGTATTGTGAACACTCTGAGAGAGATAGAGAGAGAGAGAGAACGAAAGAACAAAAGGTAAGGGTTGTTGCATGTGAAGGATTAACCAAAGATCGCATCAACATAGGAGTTCGCTTTCCATATTTGACAACAAATCCAAGTTCGTATTTGCAAAGAACGAGTTAGGGTTTGCGCATATGTGAAATTGAAGTGGTTTGAGGTATGTGAAAATAATTTTGTAGTCGATATTAAGGGTTTCTATTTTTTATTACTCTCTATTTAGTTTAGGTTATGTTAAAATTTATACTCTGTTTTTTGGGTGTGTGTATTTTTGAATAATTCTGTATTTAGTTTAGGGTATATGTTTTTTATTACTCTATATGTATTTGTTTAGGATTTTGTTTTCTATTTATTGTTAACTCTATATAAGCAAATAGGGCTTTTATAATTGAAATTATGTGTAATTTGGGAGTAGTTGTTCAATTATATTGATTGTGTTAAATTTAGTTAATTTGTATTTATAATTTATAATTTTGTTATAATTTTAATTGTTACAGCGATGGAATCAATTCATGATATTGCTGTTCGCTACAAGTGGAACGTAACTTTTATAACTGGTGCGGATCCGGATTTTTATAGCATCATTGATCTTGTTAAAGATGTAACAGCAGTAGCTTTATCTCATATTCCAACTACTATCCATTTGTCTCTGTTTTTGTCTTGTGTTGTTCCTGGGTCTTCTGCTATAATGAATGTGGATAGTGATAAAGATGTGCTAGAGATGTTTAAAGTAAATGTTGGTAAAAGATTGATAGACTTGTATATTGATAAGGTTGTAACTGATGTAAATCCTGAATTTGCCTCAATTGAGAGTATGGAGTTTGATGATAGGGAGTTTGAGTTTGATGATAGGGAGTTTGATGATAGGACATTTGATGACAGTAATGTGAATGACAATGATGACAGTAATGTGAATGACAATGATGATAGTAATGTCAATGACAATAATGACACTAATGTCAGAGACAATGAGACCAATGTAAATAAGAGCAATGGAGGACAGCCTGGGGATGAGTGTGATTTGGAAAATGATAATGATGTATTTGGGTTTAGTTCTGAAGATGAGGAATGGGAAAATAGTGGGAAGGGTAAGAATCCAGTTCACAATGATGATGTGAATAAGAATGTGGAGGAAGAAAAGAACCATAGTGAGGATGGTATGTCAGACTATGAATCAGGAGATGAACCTGGTACTGAATCTGATAATGACATGTATGTGGAAGAAGAAGAGTGTGAGAAAAATGTTGAACAACAGAAAACTGAAACAGCAAGGGGTGGGTGTTATGCAAGCTGTTTAAAGGGAACTCCATTTAAGAGAGGTGTGGATGGAAAGATTAAGTTAGAAGAAGGTCATCTATTTGTCAATGTGAACCATTTTAGGGATATTTTGGTTGATTTTTATGTCTAAGAGGGATGTAGTATAAAAAGAGTAAAAAATGAGAAGCAAAGAGTCACTATAAGATGTGCAGTTGAGGGGTGTCCATGGAGGGTACATGCTTCCCGTTTGATAGATAGAGTAACTTATCAAGTCAAGACAATTAGAGGTCCACAGAATTGTGTAAGGAGTGGCACTGTGAGGGATGCAACATCCACATGGATTGCTAAAAAGCTTTGGTAGAGTATAAAAGACAATCCAGGGATTCCACTTGATGCATTGCATGCAATAGTGATGAGCCAATTCAAAGTTGATGCAAGACCCATGCAATTATATAGAGTTAAAAGGAAAGTTATGGATGAGTTAGAGGTAAACCATAGGGAAGCATACACTTTGCTTCTTAAGTATACTAATGAAATTTTCAATTCTAATCCTGGTAGTATCATGAAGCTTGAGAGGGACTTGCCTAGCACGATATTTAAAAGAATTTTTATGTCTTTAGAAGCTATGCAATATGGATTCAAGAATGGTTGTAGGGGGTTCATTGGATTGGATGGTTGTCACCTAAAGACCCCTTATGGTGGTGTGCTTTTGTCTGCTATAGCCCTTTATGGGAATAATGGCCTTTTTTCACTGGCTGTGGCTGTGGTGGAGAATGAAGGGAAAGAAAGCTGGAAATTATTCCTTTAAGAGTTGCAAACATTTGTTGAACTTGGTCAAGATAGACATATATGCTTCATGTCAGATCAGCAAAAGGTAAAAACTTCATTTATTACATATAATTTCTATATCTAATAAATTACATGAAATTTATATATCTAATTTATGCTTTACTTATGCTTAGGGTCTTGAACAGGCAATGAAGATTGTTTTCCCACATGCAACCCATAGGCTATATTGCAGACATCTATATAACAACTTCAAAAAGAAGTATCCAGGATTGCTTTTGCAGTTTTTTTTTCTGGAAGGCAGCTAGAGCTTATAATGATTACACATTTAATGAGGCAAATGAGGGAGGTGTCAAGAGAGGCTTATAATTGGGTCTTAAGAATAAATGTGTGCAAGTGGTCAAGGCATGCATTTTCTAACCAGGTGAAGAGTGACCATGTCACTAATAATTTTAGCGAGTCATTCAATAATTGGGTTGGGAAGCTTAAGTCTAAACATATTTTAGGGCTGCTTGATGGTATTAGGAGCAAATTGATGAGCAGACTCCTAATGAAGGCTGAAAAGGCCAGTACTTGGGTATGATTGGTGACCCCAAACATTAGGAAAAAATTGAATAAGTTGATTGATGAGTCTAGATCATGTAATGTTACCCTAGCAGGGCAAGATGAGTATGAAGTCATAAATGAGGAAGGAAAGCATATAGTGAAGCTTAGATCAAGGTCATGTGATTGTAGAGGATGACAGATTTCTGGCCTCCCATACAAACATGCAACTGCAGCCACAACACACAAAAGAACAGATATTGAACAGTACTGTGATCCATGTTTCTATAATGAAACATACATGAGAACTCATTCTAGTATGATTCACCCAGTACCTGATCAAAGAATGTGGACTCCTGTGCATTGTAACCTTGTGGAACCTCCAGTTCCAAGGAAAAAGCCCGACAGACCAAAAAAAGCCAGGACTAGAGATGCAGATGAGCCTACAGCTGCAACTAGTGATGCTAGAAAGAGCAAATCCCTACAATGCTCACAGTGTGAAGAATTTGGGCACAACAAGAGAACACGCAAAGTAGGTCAACCCAACCAGGTAAATCACTTATAAATTTTTTAATATTAACTGAAGAGTTAATGCCCTTTAACTTGTGACATTATTTGACACTATATAAGAACTTGCAGGGACATACAAGTACACCAAGAAGCAGTCAAGTTGGAAGTGGAAGTTCAAGTTTTACCAGTTTAACAGAAGAGGTATAACTTTTTTTTTTTTATAAAAAAAGAGGTTTAACTTTATTTCTATTTTTCTTAAATGAATTAAGTTTATTTTAATTGTAATCACAGATGATGAGGCCTACATCAGCTACTCAATTTGGGTGTCAAAGCTCAATGAGGAATGTAGGTAGAAAAGCCACTGCAAGCACCAACCAAGTTGGAAGAGGGTGTGCAACCTCAAATCAATCAAAAAGCATCAACCAAGCTGGAAGAGGGTGTGCAAACTCAAGGTCAAATCAAGCAGGAAAAGGCATTGCAAGCACCAATCAACCTGGACAAGGCTCTGCAACATCAAATCAACCAAGAAGACCCAATGCAGTCAAATTTGCAGTTCGAAGAGGTACTGGAAGAAGCAGCCAATCTGGAAGGGACACCTGAAGATGGAGAAGAAGGCAGTTGAAGATGTAGCCATAATACAGTTAACTATATTTTTTTGTGGACAATTTATGAAACTTTTGTTGTTTAACTACTTTGTGGGTAACTTAGTTGTGCAAAAAGAATAGACAGATATATGGTATAGCTTTTGGGCAACTCTGAATTTTATTGGTAAATGATACGGTATGTTTATGGGTAACTCAGTTGTTTAAATGGTATGTTTTGTGGACAATTGGTTGTTTGTATAAATTGTTCATATTTATGGGTTATTTGTCATATAGGTCTGAATTTTTTGTCAATCCAGTTTGTCAATGCAGAGTTTGTCAATGCAAAACATATAGCAGCTTCATTCATAACAAAAGAACTCCATCATTCATTAAGAACTGAACATCATTCATTACAAAACATAATTACTGAAGGTATACCACCTTCAAGATACAACTGACAAAAAAATGAATACAACTGAGAAAAATGGAAGAAATAAACTTGCATTGATAAGCAGCTTCATGAATCCAAGGGGTTTTTCAAACATTGCAAATTGAGACATTGTCTCACCAATCTCAGACCTTAGTACACCAATTTCAGACCTTATCTCACAAATTTCAGACCTTAGCTTACCAATCTCAGAACTTATCTCAGCAACATTTGTCATAATCTCAGGAAATACATCTTCTTCGTTACATGTTGTAGCAGAATCCATCACATCCTCTGTAATGCAAGTTATTGGATTGCACCATTCCCAAACACCACAACTTCTAGTTGGACAAACATAATACAACTTCCCTTTATTGTTATAATCATTAGAACCTGTTACCTTAATTACACATTTTGTTTTTGATTTACATTTGCAATACAGATCCCTGTACCTTAAATCACCTAAGCTTGAAGCTTTTCCCTTTGAACTAGTAGACATGTTTCCAAAAAGAAACGAAAATCCAGACATCTGAAGAACAACTCATAACCCACAAGACCTTCGCTATTCTCCAAATTTTTGAAAAACAAATCGTCGTAACCCACAAAAATTAAATTTTCAGATTTTTGAATAACCAAATTGAAAATCCAGATATTTGTTTTGAAGCTAACAAATCGAAGCTAAAAATTCAGCCTTTAATTTCTAGATGAACATAACTTACCCAAATGGAGCCCTAAGTTGCAGACAGAAGAACAATCTTCTTCTTCATCGTTTTTCTTCAAATTCCAGAACAATTTTCTTCTTCTTCTTCCTCTCCAAAGCTCCCAACACTTGATTTGCACAACACAACCTTTGTAGAGCAACAACTTATCACAATGGCAGCAGCTTCATCTTCTTCTTCTCTTCAGCCCTAAGAGACCCGTTATGTAGCACAACGGTTACAAAATGGGTCTTATATCTTGCCTTAGCCTACACTCAAGATTGGGGAAGGGCTACAGTTCACTTAGCGAGCTAGGGTGGAGTTGTTTTGTTTCATTCCCTCACCGTGTCAGCATTGCCTTTCTTAGGCGGGTGGTTGTACCAGTGTTTAGCCAATCTCTGATTTCCTATCACAGAGCCTCAAAGAAAACTCACTTTACAACAGAAAGAAATAAGCTCATCGCTTCACTCAAAGGGAAAAACCAACAATTCTACGAGATGGGTAGGAAGCCGGCACTGTATATATATATATATATATACCCAAGGGTATTTGCGGCATTTCAAAAAAAATAGCAGTTGATGTCATCGTTTTCCGTCATTGACTGGCGTTGACTGTAACGGAAGAGAGGTTCGTGTAGGATATTTTAAAAAGTATGAGAGGTCCGTGTAATTTCCGGAACAGGAAGGGTGCCGCCTGTAATTATGGCAAACTATAGGGGAGGTCTGTGTAAATTACCAATAAATAAATAAACCCCACAAAATATCGCCTTATTAATTTCAATTAACAATGTCTTTCGATTTAAGGTTAAAGCCATGAGTGAGTTATTTATACCATCTGTAATCGTCCAAAACAAATAAGGCAAAGACTATAATATTAAGTTTGGTATGTAAGAATGGAATGAAATAGAATATCATTTTAGTTATTCATTTATTTAGTATGCAATTTAAAGTGGAAATAACTATTCAATTGGAATGAAAATCCATTCCATAACTACACCTATGAAATGGTCATTCCATTCCCAAGTTAAATTCTTTAAAAAATTAACTTCCCAAAAAACCCTCATGTTCAAAGTCCAAAAACAACTACCTTTCACCACAACCACATCCGTCTTTTACCATCACCACCACTACTACCGCCTTCCACCACCACTACCGCCACCTCCTTCACCACCGCTACAGCCACTACCTTTCACCACCACTGCTACCGCCTTCCACCACCATTATCGCCTTCTATCGCTATTGCCTTCCACCGCCACCGCCTTACACTACCGTCGTAGCTGCCGTCGCAACTGCCATTGTGTAATACCCCGAGTTTTAGATTAAGCTTTAATCTTGATTAAATGTATGATTAGTAAATAAATTTTGGAGACTCTTTTATATCATTCAGGAGTTTTTATTTAGATCTTTTTGTGATATAATTTTTGGTTTTAGATTTAAAGTGGAGGCGTTGGTGCATTATTTGAGTTACTGGGGGGTGTAGTGTGATTTAGAAAAGTGTGAGTTAGTGAAATACAAATGTAAGCACCAAATGAACCTATGTGCCACATATCTAGCCAAGCAACCATCTATCTTCCTCACGTAATCCATAGGACACGTTTTATGCCTAAGCCTTGTACCTTGCCCATGCAAAACTATAATCAAAGGGAAAGGAAAAAGGTAAAAGGGGAGCAAGAAAGGGACAGCCGAGACTGTAGTAAGAGAAATTTTGGTCCAGCCATGGAAGGAGAAATTCAAGGCAGAAAATTCAGCGTCAACGTCATCTTCTCACCATCTTTATATTTGTTTAAGGTAGGGTTTGCTATAACACTTGTTTCTTTTGGTGGTTTTGTGTTTGAATTCTTTGGTGATGCCATTGATGTCCTTGTGTGAGGTTCATGTTCAATTGCCTTCTTGATTTGTTCTGATCAATTGTTCTAATTGAGTTCAGTCCTCTGAAAATCTCATTTTTAGTTAATCAATTATTTGTTATTTATTGTTGAACTATCTTTATATCTTTGTTATGACTATGTTGTTATAGCCTCACCTTTTGTTTTAATGGCATGTTCTTGTGATCTACAAAATTCCATAGAAACCCTTATTATTGTTTTTCCTACTGGGACTATTGTCTAACCCTACCATTTTTCAGGTGCCATGATCAAATTGGGGAATTGGAGTTGCTGAATTTCATATAGATGGAGACTATTTTTATATTGTGCATAAAGTGTTTGATGAATTGTTTGTATGGATTTATATTTGAGGAATTGGATGTATTTGTGAGTTTAAGTGCCTATGCTGTATCTAAACCATTCTATGTTCACTTAGGGACTGGTTGTACCTATCCTTCTATTGTAGTTGTGATGAATTGGTATTTGGGAGCTTAAGTAAAATACAGGGATTTTGTTTTTTGTGGCAATTCAATAATTTCTCTAAGGAGCTGTATTGATCTAAAAGCTTTAAAATTTTTACCACAGTTTCCTTTATGCATCTAGTCTCCATAAAATTTCATAATTTTTAGATTAGCAGATATTTTTATAAAAATTCGAGATTACTTGCTGTCCAGATTTTACATCTGCTGGAAATCAGATTTTAAATAAATTATTTCACCAACTTCTTGACACCGAATCTTTATCAAAACTTTCAGATTTATTCTTTCATAAGTCTACTGTCAAAATAAATTTACTTTGCCAATTTCCAAGGTTAAACGAATTTTCTAAAAATTCTGAAGTATCTGCTGCCGAGGTTTTCTTTAAACTAAGTATTGCTGATTTACGTCTCAAATCTGATTTAATTGGAAAATCTGAAGCCTCTGTGAGTTGCTCAGCTGTATTTCGCTCTGAGTCTAGTTTTCAAATCATTTTTGTTTGCTCCATTTCGATTTAAAATAAATTTTCTACGAATTTTTAAGTAGTAGTTGCGCAGATTTTGTTTTGTAGATGAATGTGATGTGTTTAAGTTGATAATTATCGGAGTGGCGCAGTGGATGTGTGTTTGAGGTTATTTAAGTATATTTGAGACAATGAATGGACTATGATTTTATATCGGATGATTATTGATAATTTTATTCGGACGGTTTCCGAGCCTTGTTTTGTCATAGTCCCTAATTTCGGGTCGTTACACATTGCCTTCCACTATTGTCACCTTCCACCACCTCTACAGTCACCTCTATTGACTTTCACCACCGCCACCTACATCACTATTTCCTCCCACCATCACCGCATTACTGCCACCTCCTTCCACCACCACCACACCCGCCTTCCACCACCACCGCGCTCACCGCCTTCCACCATTGCCACCACAACCGCCTTCCAACACCACTTCCATTTTCCACCTCCATCACCACCCACTACTGCCACTACCACCATTTATTTTAAAAAAAATATTAGAGAATGTCATTTTGTTAATTTAATTTATTTGTTAGTAAGAGGGATATTTTGAAGAATTTAATTTGAAATTTATTCCATTTTAAATTTTAAATTGGTCCAACCAAACATATTTCATTCCTACACATTTTATATTTACCGAACAATAAAATGAGAATGACCATTCCATTTCCATTCTCATTGCTACTTGCATTCCATTCCTGTATATCAGACGCATTATAAGGCTCTAATCAAGCGTAAGAAACGTAAATTTACTTGGCTTTCAATACCTCAGCTGGGCCAACTTAATTACAAATTTGAACTTCGGCCACGAGCCTGCGCACATTAAATATCAAATATATAGTGACGGAATTCGAGAGGTAGGCCTTTAAAATCTTTCGAACTATAACCTTAACTTGAATAGTGCGTGTTGGGGGTCATACGCGTAATCTAATCTAAGAAAAAAAAAAAAGAAAAAGAAATCCAGCTGTTCAAATGTGAAAAAACTTTCCGCCATAACATTGGCCTATAAAGAAGATTCTTTTAATTGGAGTAAAATTAAATTAACTTTAAAGTCATAATACAATCCAATGATTCAGAATTTGAAAAAAACAATTCCTAATTTTGGAAACGAAATCGAGAAGCAACAATTCAATTTGGTTCATATTCATATATATTATCAGTGGAGGCATGGATTTCTTAACATTAAAACAAAAAACTCAATTATTTCAGCCGTACTAAGGAAAAAATAAAATAAAAATATAATATTGGTGACTGGTTGGAGATATTTTCAAGATCTACGAGCAGAACGAACACGTGTCCTGGAATGAAGCCCATACTCACGTATCCGTTCACGTGGCACGCATGAAAACGAAGCCTTCAGCTTTAATTCCGCTCTCGAAACCTGAAAGGTCATATCCAGTACTGCCATATCATACAGAGTCACACATACTCGTATTATATATACAGTGACTCAATCTTACTTAAAGGTCGCTAAAAGGTCCTCTTTTCGCTGATCAATCATCTCTCTGATCTCTATATATGTATGTGTGTGTATATATATAGACAGAAAATAGATTCAGTATAATGGATGCTTTGCTTTATTCGTCACAGGGAATAAAGATGTTTCCCTCAACAATCTCCGAATCTTCTACAAACTTCACACCTTTTGCTTCTGCTATGTCCAGTAATGTAAATCGTTCCTTTGTTGCAGCATTTCGTGTCTCCAACATGGGGTAAAATTCAACTTCTTCTTGATCAACTCTGCAATTTTCGTCTCATTTTTCCACATTAGTTTTTCAATTATGATACAAAAATGTGTGTTCTGTTTCTCATTCAGTTCGAATCGGATTGATTGTTTAGTTTCTTTTATATATATATATATATGTAATTGTAGTATATACAGTCTACGAGACATGTTTGATTTGAAGCAAGGTATTGATCAATTAGCATTCTGAAAGTTCTCTTCTTGTTCAAAAGAATCAGAAGTAATGGTAGTCTCCGTAGAATTGTATATAGTCGAGAAGTGCAACATATAAAGTGATCTCAGAATGTATTAAATAAATTTTGTATTTGCTTTTCTTTTATTTTTTTGGGTAGAATTTTCCAAGAAGTGGGAAAAATGTATTTATAAAAATATACGAAAAGTTTTTGTTTCTTTTTGATCTCTCATTTTGTGGTCTATATTTCTGCATACAATAAGTTTCACAAGTTCTTGCGAGTAGTGCCTTAACTGATCATCAAGTTTTACAGACTATAAACATAATTTTTTTTATTATATATATATTTTTTCTGAGGATTTATGGTGTTAGTCAGCACAGCTTGGATTAAAGATGTGTTTCCTCCAATTGTTTTGACTCTTTATCAACATTTTAACAGACTGAAGTCAAGTAAAAACCTATCGGGTGACAGCGCGGGGCAAAGACTTTGCAATAAGGCACTTCTTTCTTTCTTATTCTTCTTGGTCTTATTTATTTTTGTTCAATTAAGCACTTGTTTCACTTTGAAGGTTTGAATTGACTATTGTCTTAGGTTAGGCAAGAAGTCATGGCAAGCACAAGGCTAGTGATGTATATAGTCGTCAAACGGAAGCAAGTGTGCTTGAGGTATGTGTTTTATACATTTGCATGTGCATATATGTATGCTTGCATATTTAAACAATCAAACTAATCCAGGGGGTAAATTGGATTTCATGTGATTAAAATTTGCTCATGGGTCACACGCAAACATCACCGATTGAGGACCTGCTTTGTAATTGCTACTTAATGGAGTAGTTCTTATTGCTGGCTGCTGTGAGGAGGTCTTCCAAAAATGGAGTTGAGAGAGGATATGGTTGAATTTGGACCTTAATGGCCAACTGAGTATTATCTATTTATTGGTTTGGCATGCATCTATTGTTTTGCATAATATTGTTAGAAGTAGAACTGTTTTAACATTCAGAGAATTTCCTTCCTAATTTTTTATAGTTCCTTTATATTAAAACGATTTAACAAATTTCTTGTAGAAAACAAAATCAAAGGACTTTGAAATTGGAGGTGGGAAGGTTTTTTGTTTTTTCCCTTTAAAACATTGAATGTAATTGAACTGACATGCCCTAGTCTTACATTAGCCAATGTCCAGTATTGTTGTCCTCATGCACGCTGGTTAAAATTTTGTGTTGGCGATGACAATGAGCTGTGAAGCAATCTATCGAGGCCAAAGAGGAAAATGCAGAAAAATTTGCGTAAACTAAAATGTAGCATCTCCATTAGCATTAAGATATTTCATGTTTATTAGTTAGCAGTTTTTCTTGCTTCAGTGCTTCCATATTCTGTCCATGTTCTGCTAATATCAACTAGTTTGCTCCATAGTTATGTTCCAAGACATCAAACTGTTTTGTGCGCAAACAAATTAGTTTTCTACTTTTTTATAAATTCATTGCTCATAAATTATAGGAAGAAGCCCCTCAAGTGTCAGAGAGCAGCTCGTCTTTGAAAGTATTACAAGGTCAAGCATATCCGCTAGGAGTATCAGAACTTGAAAGTGGAATCAACTTTTCGATTTTTTCACAGCACGCAACTGCAGTCACACTTTGCTTATCGCTTCCTGAAAGGTTACAGTGCTTTGCTTTTTACATCAATAGATTGAAGTCAAGTTTTAGTTTATGCATCACATTTTCAGCGTTTAAAATAGTTGAATTTTATTTTATGTTGAAATCTTACTGATCATCACGTACTGTAAATGCACAGCTACCTCTTGTCTTTTTCTTAATAAGCACACATTGGATATTGTTAAATTTAACATGCAATGGGAAATTATGGTCACTAGTTTGGTGGAGAAGAGGATGAGGGTATTGGTTGAAGGTATATCTGGTTTGTTATTATGATAGTAAGTGTAGTTTGAATAAAAATGTCTTAAAGTGTATTAAATAAAAAAGAATTTAATAGAAGAGGAGAGGCAGGGGAAGGATGTAGGTGTAACAAAATTGGGTAGTAGCGCCTCTTAAGCAATGCTTTAAGCTGAAAATCCTCAATCAATGTTCATTCTCCTCAATAGAGATGATTACATATTTTCTATAGCCCTAGCTATAAGTATTTGGAAGCTATTTTTAGGCCTCTATGAGTAGCTAACTGGTTGGATGATTCATCATCATAATCATCCTTGACTTTATCCTATGTGAAAGGGGTTGGCCACATGAATTATCTTTTTATTTATTATTATTATTTTTTAATTCTTCCCTATTATACACCGTATCTCCTCTTAAATTTAATTTTTTAAAGTCAATTTTACTTCATTCCATGTAAGTTTTGACCGGCCTCTTTGTTGCTTACCTTTTAGGCAAACAACTCTTCCTCTTCTAACCGGAGCATCTTCGGGTCTACCTTGTATATGGCCATACCATCTAAGTTTACTTTCTTGAGTTTTATCATTAGTAGGCGCTATTCGTAGTTTTCCCTCACAAGTTCATTATTAATCTAATCTCCTCGGGTTACTCTTCATTATAACATCTTCATTTTCGCTACATGAATGCATTGTTTATTTTTTTTCAACACCCAACACTCTGCGCCATATAATATGGTTGACTTAATAATTGAGGTTTGTTCTATATAATTTTCCTTATAATTTCTTTGATACACATTTGTCACAGAGAATACAACTAGTTTGCCTCAATTTTGGCCACCATGCTCCAACTCTACTTACTACAACTATCTCTTTCCTCATCTTGTTGTAATATTGGCCTTGTGTGGTGAAAATAGTTATTCTCAGTAAATATTTACTCTTGAAATGTAATATTTATGTTATCATAATTTGTTGCTTTATGAAATTTACATTTCATATATTAAATTTTAGTTTTACTAATTTTTAGGCCTTTTGCTTTTAAAGTCTTTCTTCATGTTTCTAATTTTGTTGCTAAGGCTTCCTTAGAGCTATCTAATAAAACTATCATCAGCAAATAACATATTGCCGTGGATTTTTTTGGATATCTTTTGTTATTTCATCTAACACTATCGTAAATAGGTATGGATTTTAAAAAATAATTCTTAGTGTATTCTACTTTTATAGTGAATTCTCGAACATTTGTCAATGTCTAACTACACATATCCTAAATAAGATTTTTAAGTTCTATGCTTTCATCCTCTACTGATGTTCTTCATGCCACGGTCTTGGAGGATGTTAAGGTTTTTTTGGTGTTCTTCCTGGTTTGCAGCTCCTGTGGATTCCCAGGGAATGGTCACAAAGTGGCCCATGCTATAAGCAAATGGGCTCTTAATTGCAGGCAGGATGACTCCAAATGGGAGATCTAGCCCAAGTGGCTTTCTGATCTTGTTCTTACTGATTGTTCTGTTCCTTTGTTGTCTTTTTTAGTATTGCCAGTAAAAAAAGAAAAAGAAAAAGAAAAAGTGCTACTGGCCCTTAGATTGTGAGTAATCCATCCATTAACTGAATATTTAAGTGAGAGAAAAGAAGCCCTATGAAGGGTCTGCTATAGTTGCATGAACATCAATTTTTACTATGACCCTTCACGCAAAAATTTCCCTGTAAAACAATAAATAACCGAAATAGATACCAAAGACATGTGCTAGTTTTTGGATCTAATAGTCATATCTAGTAAATGGATCTAAATATTTTAATTTTTCCCTCTTTGGTAGTGTGCTGTAGTATCTATCTGATGTAGTGTTCTTATAATTTTAGGGGAAAAGACGGAAGGATTGATGGTGGAATGATGGAGCTTACATTAGATCCTCGTATAAATAAAACTGGAGACACATGGCACATTTGTATTGAGGTAGGTTTATTATTTGGATCCTGTAAAATCTATTATTATTATTTTTTTGGGTGATATTTTAATTTAACATGGGTGGCATTCCTCAGTTGTTCTACACCAATTTTTTTCAACATATGCTTGCATTGAACAATGCTCTAATAGTGGTTTATGTTGTCAAAGGATAAAGTAGTTTATGTTCATAGTGTGCTCGTTTTGGAATATGGGATGTATATTCTTATTATTCATTGCCAAATTCTGGCTTCATGGACATGGACATTTGTTAAACTTGTTTTCCTGCAAGCATTTATTGAACTCATGTTGTTGCAACTGTTTTGTAGCATCATTGATTTAATGTTGAATTGGCAGCTTCGCGTTCTCATAATAAAACAAATGTTATATTGGGTTAGCAATTAAGTTTGTCATTTGACTAAAATCGTGAAGCAAGTTCACTTTCATTTTTATAAAAGCTACTGTAAGCTAATGAACGGCATCATTTGATACTTGTTCTGCTCTGTATATTTGTCTTTTCCCTTATTGTTTTTTGCTCTAAACACACTCTGCTATGAATCTAAAACAAACTATATCAAAATACAATGATATTATTTTATTTTATTTATTTTGTGGGGCTTTACAAGATGCCTTAGTCATCTATTGTCCTTATATGCATAGCTTGTGAGTTTTGGCTAGAAAATCTGCTGCTTTATTGGTGTTGGTTTATGATAAGAAAATTCTGCTTGTGATGATAAAAGGATATTTTCCAATTAAAAAAGGTTGTTTTCTGTTAATCAAGGTTGGTAAGAGGGGTGGACTGGGCAAGGTTTTAAAATGCAGCTGTGGCCGTGGTGTTGCAGTCTCGGGCTGTAACAGGATTACATAATGGGTACCGGCTGTTGTGGTTGTGAAATTTTCTCAGCACTAAGAAACGTGATAAAAGCGAACTGATATGCAAGTTTTAACTCCAGAATTCAATAAAACCATGTTTGAAATTATTTGTAATGAACTTTGTTGAATATTCAAAGGTGACTTATATGAGTAGTGGCCTATAATTAAATTTTAAGGCGCTGTCATCAGTTTCACTGTAATAATCTATACTCTGCACTAAATTTATGGCCACAAATGCATACTACCTCTGTCCCTAAATAGATGTCCATGTTTAGAAATTGGAGTTTTTAAGGGGACATGCAATTAATGCATTGTCCCCTTTTAAAATTACCAAATTGTCCTTTTTAATTTAAATATATATAGTTACAAAGTTTGAAATTTTTAAAAAAGATAAAGGACAATGATGGAAATATAATGAAAAGATGCTTTGACTTTTTAAAGAGGACAACTAATTTGGGACATGTAAAATGAGAAAAATGGACTACTAATTAGGGACGGAGGGAGTATTAGATTTCCACTTGAGTTTGCAGCAACTCCTGAACTAGCCAGCATTACCACTATTTGAGAAAGTTATAGGTCTCATCTTAGAATTTCATGTGTCAATCAACAGAAGCATGAAAGTTATGCTGCTTATTTTTAACAAACAGAGCGTCATAAAGTGATTAGTTTCTTATTGCATGGTGCCCGCAGAGCTATTATCCTATATGTTGTCAGGGGCTTATTTGTTATTACTTATATAATGTTGGGGCTTATGTATAATTTCTGAAACTTGTTATTATAAATAGAATGTGGTGAAAGGATTCTTTCATTCTTTCTCTCTTTCCCTATCTCTCTCTCTTTTTCTCTCATCCGCTTTCTTCTCTTTTTCTTCTCTTTTTCTTCTTCTTCTTTATCACTTACTTTTGATTTGATTATATCTTAAAGTCAACACTATATTTCTGTTAATTTCCGAGTTTAGTATAAAACTAATTTGACTTCATCTACTGGGACACCGGTATTCTTATTGCACAGTGCACACAGAGATATGACCTTGTTAATTTCTGAGAGTAGTATGAGACCAATGCAGTATAAGAATGACTCGATATTCTGGGGCACCAAAATGCTGGTTGACCTCTTTAACCTCCTTTCAGCTTAATGCGAATCTCGAGAAGTAAGATATTGAATGATTAGGGGTTTGGATGCATGATGGTGTCTAGTGATATAAGAATGACTCGATATTCTGGGGCACCGATATTCTGGGGCAAATACTGGTTGACCTCTTGAACCTCTTTTCATGTTAATGTGAATCTTGAGAACTAAGGTATTGGATGATTAGAGGGTTGAATGCATGATGGCGTCTAGTGATATTTCTTTTCTATGCTTTACTAATTTACTTTTATTTTTAGAAGCTTCTAAAAGTTTTACTGCATTCCATTTCATACAGTGTAGCATGTCCTTCTATCTTCTTCCATTCAGGACACAATAAGAAACTCCTATATTTGATAATGCAATATCATCAAGCTCTGCATTGACATGATCCTTAAATAAGAGGTTGGATGAGGATGCTCCATACACAATCTCTTTAACCCCTCTTCTTATTGGTGTCTTCGACCTTTTCAACCAATAAAATCCTGGTTGAGTGATCTTGTGGATGTTTATGCTTTATTACTTAAAGAAAATTTACATTTTTAAGGAATATATTAATTGTAACTTTTACAGTGTTGTTATCTTCAAACTTTTTGGTTCAATCTGGGATATAGGCTGCCATGAATATTCTCTTGAATCAGTAGATAGTTATTGTTCGTTTAAAAATATTGCAACTGTGTTTTATGTTATAAGGTAATAAGTAATAAATGTTGACCTATGATTGTCCCACTAGAATGCTCTCTCTCTCTCTCTCTCTCTCTCTCTCTCTCTCTCTCTCTCTCTCTCTCGTATTTTATTTTATAATCTTTTAGGACATTACTGGAATAGTGGAATATATAATAAATTCATTTCCTTATTATTAATCTTAGATTCATCTAGATATTCACCAACAGTGGGAGAGAAGCTATTATTTCATTTATTTTCTCTGTTCTGTGCTACTGAAGGGACTTCTGTAAATGTAGGATCTGCCTAAGAACAATGTCCTATATGGTTACCGTATAGACGGTCCTCGAGGTTGGCATCAAGGGCATCGATTTGACAGTAGCATTGTCCTAGTAGATCCGTATGCAAAACTAATTGAAGGTCGCCGATTTTTTGGAGACGCCAGTAATAAGATGTCTAAATTTCTTGGAACTTATGATTTCAATAGCTTGCCATTTGATTGGGGAGACAATTACAAGCTTCCAAATATACCTGAGGTAAATTCTGTGCGTTGCTTAAATGGCTTTATATCAGTTTGTGCCGTATAAATGATGATTTATATTTCTTGACATGCATAGTCCTATAAAATTCTAAGTGCTCATTCCACACATGCGATCTCTCTCTCTCTCCTGCATTTTTAATTTCATTATTTGAATTAGTAGCTGAATGCGTTTCTGTATTTCTCTAATTTTGGTTTTGATGAACAATAGCAGGTATCTGATACTTTTCAGTTAGTTGTATCACCAGTTTATTGTGTTTCATGTCCAAGTTATTTCCATTTAGAAAACTTCTATCTAATTGATTTTTTTTTTTTTTTTTCATAATTGTCTAGTTGATTTTTTCCCCACTTGAATCTTATGGTATTGTTGTTGCCTTTGCAGAAGGATCTTGTTATATATGAAATGAATGTTCGTGCTTTTACAGCTGATGAATCTAGTGGGCTTGATCCAAATATCCGTGGTAGCTACCTTGGTGTAATTGAGAAGGTACAAGATTGTATCTTGAGCTGAATTATATTCTAAGTAATGATATACAAGCACTTCTATTTTTCTTTTACATGGAATGTTCCAGTAATTCAATTTTCTTTATCACATTTTATAGTTGATATTTCCATGGGTAGTGGATGCCTCAGGTAGATAATATGCTTATAAACAAGTAGTTTTCTACCCTAAACTTGTCTTGCTTTTAGTCAATATTGTCAAATCATCTCGGCGAGTGCCGAAGGAAACCTAGGCACCTAATTCTTTAAAGTTTTGGTTATGTTAGGTCAATAGAACTTAGGCTGGTAAATTGCGTAAATCAAAACTAGAGTCTGTAACTTTAGTTTTTATATCTAGATTAGTTAGAAGTTAAAAAGTTAGTTAGTGTCATGATCATTACCTCTGAGACATGGTTGAATATGAAATTTAAGCTTCATACAAGGGTAAAAACATAATCTTCTATACCACGGGTAAAAGGGTAATTTGACACTTGAATGCACTCACCAAAATTATGATTCATTCATTTATGCATTAGGGTTTTAAATATTTCATGATTTGATTTGTTTTGATTCAAAAAATCCTTTTGATATTGACGCAGCGGATTAATGATAACAATTAAAATAACTAAAAGAATAGCAACGGATTCTTTAAACACTCGAATCCACGAGAAGAGGTTGAGAGAAACTCTTGATTTTATGATGTTGATAAAAGTAATAAGTGACCCTAAACTATTACAATAACATGTATTTATAGGCCTAAGCAAATCCTAAACTAGTAAAATTAAAACAATGAGAACTTCCTAAAATTGACAATGAAAACTTTCTAAAACTGACCCTAAACTATTTAGGAAAGTAAAACAATTAAAACTTCCTAAAACAGACTCTTAGCTATTAGGTTATTAAAACAATATGAAAAACGAAACTAGCAAACACTCTGGAAAACACTGTTCACACTCTGTTATTCTCATATATATATATATATATATTTAAAGCTTTTCATATAGGTGATAGTTATTGTGACAAGATTCTTGTCATAGATTGGCTAGAAATCAACAGTATTGATTCTTATCCATTTCTACTTGGTTTTAGAGTTCATAATTTTTCTCTCCTTTCTTCTTAGAGTTGTATTTGTTCATACAGGTTTGATTATACAATTTTTACATCAAAAATTTGTTAACGTGATCTTTATGGTCATTGCTTTGGCTAGCAAATGTACTTTTGCCTGGCATCTAAGCAATTTTTTAAAAATATATCTAACTTTGATTTCTCCATTAAATACTATGCTATGAATGTGGCACTTCTTTATTTACTTATTTCAAAAAAATTATTAACATTAATCGCTTTTGTCTTTTTATTTATTTTTGATAAATAGCTTTTCTCAAATTTTCAAAAACTTTTGAATAATTCACTGACTCATGAGTTCTTAGATTTTTTTTTTCCTAGTTGAGTTCTTAGAATTTTTTGAGCTTAATATATCCTCTGGCCATTAAGCTGCCAATAAAAACAAATGAATAACCTTGCATATGGGTAAGTTCCGTAAGTTGGAAAGTTGATTAGGGGAATTATAATTTGCATAGTTTAGATTGACTAGTCTGTCTAATCTAAGTTGCATGTAATTGATCAGGGTAGCACAAACTACCTAAATTTCTTTTGGAACCACTGGTTTTGTCCGTTGTGTAATATTTCAAAATTCAACCACCAGGTTTTCTTATAGAACAACTACATTGATCTATTTTGCTTCACCTCCACATTCACACCATCCTTCTTCAATGATGGGTATAGTTTAGTAGTGTTTTAGCTTATGTGGAAGGACTACCTCCTCAATTTTTACTCATCAAAGTGTTATTGTGCTCCATCGCCAAAGAAAAAAAGGGTACAATTTGCAAGTTGATCACAAAGTTTCTTTTTTGATATTTACATTTTTACAAAGATCTGATCAAAGAATTCTTGCCCTCATAAACCCTAAATTGATAGAGAGTTTGGGACATAATATCAGGGTCCTGAGATTATGTTGAGGCATATCTATCCTATGTCATGGGCTAATGATGCTTTGCTTATGAAAAAATAAAAAGAAAAGGTTGTGAATATCTATATAATTCAATGGATATCAAACACTATCATCATTTTTACTTTTAATGATATTCTACATTTCTTTTCATGTGAAGATTCCGCATCTTCGAGAGCTTGGTATCAACGCAGTGGAGTTGTTGCCAATCTTTGAGTTTGATGAGATGGAGTTCCAGAGGCGTCAAAACCCTAGAGATCACATGGTAAAATAAACTCTCTACTCCACGTGCTTTATGACGTAACATGTTTATATATACTTTTTCTGGATCAAGAATATTGTAGCAATTTCCCATTTTTTCTTATCTTTTACTTCTCTCTCTTTTCTTTTTGGTTTATTGATTTGGAACGAAACCTCATAACTTGGGTGTCATTTAAGTTGTGGACTGCTTAGGTTAAGACAACAACGATTCTTTTTTTTTTTTTTTTTTTTTTTGAAAAAAAGATTTAAAGATATATATTGTGGGAAAATACGATTCTTTCCTTGTATAAGGAAATCGTGTATAGGCTGTTAATAGCCTAGGGATTTATTAGTCGTGTACAGGCTGTTAATAGCTAGGGATTTATTAGTTGTGTACAGGCTGTTAATAGCTAGAGATTTACAGGCTGCTGTTAATAGCTAGAGATTTATTAGGTATTGCAATCCCTGATTTCTAGGGATCAGTTTTTATTAGCTTCCTAGAAATAGCATTATTCTGATGTATATATAAGAGTGTATTCCCAATTTTTTAATCAATTGATTCGATTACCAATTTCAGTAATTTTGTCATGGTATCAGACCTCTAGGCTCGTTTTCTGGGTAATCGTATTCCCTTGGCCTTCTTTGCTAGTCCTTTTCTTCATGTTCTTGTTCTCTGTGAAAATCCAGTGTTATCAAAACTGTGGATTTCACCTCTCTCTAAACCATGTCAGCATCCACTGAAACAAGCGATACTTCAGAGATCCCTGCCACTGGAAGCAACAGCTCTGCCCCAACAGGAGAATTGCAGAATATCCAGGCGGCGTATAGGTTGAACGGGAAAAATTATTTGAAGTAGTCTCAAATGGTCGCACGTTCTTGAAGGGAAGAGGGAAACTGAGCCACTTGCTTGGTAATGGTCCAAAGAAGGAGGATCCTAAGTTTGATGCTTGGGATGAACAAGACTCTATGGTTATGTCCTGGTTATGGAACTCTATGTTACTAGAAATTAGCGACACTTGTATGTTTTTGTATGTTTTTGAGCATGGCCAAGGAGATATGGGAAGTAGTCAAGCAGACCTATTCCAAAGTACGTGATGCTGCACAGATCTATGAGATCAAGACCAAAATCTCCGCTACCAAATAGGGTAATCGGTCAGTCACCGAATATTCCAACCTCTTGAAGGGTCTATTGCAGGAGATGGATCATTATCAGTGCATTCAGATGAAGTGCAGTGAAGATGCAGCTATCCTTAAGAGGTTTGTTGAAAAGGACAGAATTTATGATTTTCTTGCAGGTTTAAACATCGAATTTGATGCTGTAAGAGTGCAAATACTTGGAAAAGAAGATCTGCCAACCTTAAATAAGGCAATTGCAATTGTTCTTGCTGAGGAAGGAAGAAAGGGTGTTATAATTGAAACTCACACAGTAGAGAGTTCGGCCTTAGGTGTCAAAAAACACGGCTATGAAGAATTATGGCTCTGAATAGCGTTTTGGAGAAGGCAATGGCAAACTGATATGTCAAGACCATTCAACAAGGATTCTCTGTGGTGTACATACTGCAAAAAATCCCGCCATACTAAGGAGAAGTGCTGGAAGCTCCATGGCAAGCCTCAAATTGTGAACAAAGCCTGGTCAGAAAAGAGTGGACAACCAAGAGGACAGAGACAGGCACATGTGGCAACCACACAATCAAACAGTGAAGACAATCTTTCAATCCCATCTGCTGAATTCAACAAAGAAGAGATAGAGAAATTAAGGAGCCTATTGGGAACGTTGGAGAAACTGTCTACAGCAGCTACTTGTTCTTTGGTGTTCTCAGGTATTTCCTCTCCTTCCCCCTCTTCTCATGTTTTTAGTGCTTCGAATATAGTCTCCTCAAGCGTCTGGGTCATTGACTCAGGAGCTACAGATCACATGACCCATTCCTCAAAAAAATTTATTTCATATACCCCTTGTCCTAGCAATAGGAAAATAATAAAAGCTGATGGTTCAGTGACAACCGTGGCTGGTCAAGGAGATGTTTTTTTGAATGACCACCTTACACTCAAGGATGTCCTCCATGTCCCAAAACTATGCACCAATCTTGTGTCAATCTAGAAACTCACTACGGATTCTAATTGCAGTGTGACGTTTTATCCTCTCCGTTGTATATTTCAGGAACAGGGCATGAAGAGGATGATTGAACATGCTAGGGAGAGGGATGGTCTATACTACCTTGAAGAATCAAATGGTCAAAATAGAGTTGAGAGTTTGTCACCATTATCATTTCTTTTTGAGTCATTCAAATCCAATAAAGATAAGATATGGCTTCAACACCTTCGTCTTGGTCACCCATCATTTAGTGTTCTCAAAATAATGTTTCCTTCATTGTTTAAAAGTTTATCTATTGAAAATTTTCATTGCGACGTATGTGAACTTGCAAAGCACAAATGCACTTCTTTTCAAATCAGCAATAAAAGAACTTTTGTTCCATTTACCTTGATTCATAGTGACATTTGGGGACCTTCCACTGTTACTAATGTTTCTGGGGCGAGGTGGTTTGTCTCATTTATTGATGATTGCACTCGTGTGTCTTGATTTTTCTGTTAAAAAATAAATCGGATGTGAGTTCTGTGTTTCCAATTTTTTTCAATATGGTCAAAACTCAGTTTGGTGTGGGGATAAAGAGATTCCGATCTGACAATGCTAAGGACTACTTTAATCAAATTCTCTCTCCGTATTTCCAAAAACAGGGCATAATACATGAATCCTCGTGTTAGCACACCTCAACAAAATGGGGTGGCCGAACGAAAGAACGGCCACCTTCTCGATATTACAAGAGCTTTCTTCTTCCAAAAAAATGTTCCAAAACAATACTGGGGGGAGGCTGTTTTAACCGCGCTCATCTCGTCAATCGGCTTCCTACAAGAGTCCTTGGTTTTAAAAGTCCAATGCAGGTCCTTACACTTCTTTCCCAATTTTAACGCATCTAATAATCTTGTTCCAAAGATATTTGGTTGTGTTGCCTTTGTTCATGTGCATTCTCAAAACAGGGGAAAACTTGATCCTCGAGCTTTTAAATGTGTCCTTGGCTATTCCTCCACCCAAAAGGGCTTCAAATGCTATCATCCTCCGACAAGGAGATTTTATGTGTCTGCTGATGTTACTTTTGTCGAACAAGATCAGTACTTTAATGGTCCTTATCTTTAGGGGGAGACATCCTTCATAGAAGATAAGGATAAGGATCTTTTTCTCCCTGAGTTTCCAGCCCTTATCTCTCATCAATCCGAGTCAAACATACTCCCAAACATTCAGTCCCAGCCAAACACACGGGCAGAAGCCGAGCCTCATACACCCAAATCACAAGGAGTGTTACATGGGAATCAAACTCGAGACTCTACTCGTCTATTGCAGATTTACTCGAGGAAAAGAGCACCAATCTCTCAACCAGTGCCAGTTCAATCACCCAAATCTGTTCCTGATAATGTCGAGGTAATTACTCAACCCAATGATAACACTAATGAAACCTCTGAACAAAATGATTATGATGTCCCTATTGCAATTAGAAAAGGAACTCGAACTTATACCAAACACCCTCTTTATCTATTCATGTCATATAAGAATCTTTCTCATAACCATAGGGCCTTTCTTATTAGCTTAAATACAGTCCCTATTCCCAAAACTTTATCCGATGCATTAGGAAATGAGAATTGGGAAAATGCTATGAAGGTTGTGATGGAAGCACTTGAGAAAAAAAAGACTTGGGACTTGGTGAGACTGCCTAGAGGTAAGAAGTCGGTTGGGTGTAAATGGGTGTTCACAACCAAATACAACTCAGATGGCTCTTTGGAAAGGTATAAGGCAAGATTAGTTGCCAAAGGGTATACACAAACCTACGACATAGATTATCTTGAGACTTTTGCTCCAGTTGCTAAGATGAATACTGTGAGAATTCTGTTATCAGTGGCTGCAAATTTTGGCTGGAGATTACAGCAATTTGATGTCAAGAATGCCTTCTTACATGGCGATCTTGAGGAGGAGATCTATATGGAGATTCCACCTGGGTTTGGCTCAAATGAAAAGGAAGGAATGGTATGCAAGCTTAAAAAAGCTTTGTATGGATTGAAACAATCCCCAAGAGCTTGGTTTGGGAGATTTACCAAAGTGATGGTGAGTATGGGATATAAGCAAAGTCAAGGTGATCATACATTGTTTGTAAAACACCCAGCATCAGGGGGAGTGACAATATTATTGGTCTATGTGGATGACATCATAGTAACAGGAGATGACTTGGAAGGAATGGAGAGCTTGAAGAAACAGTTAGTGAAGGAATTCGAGATCAAAGAGCTAGGAAAACTGAAGTACTTTCTTGGTTTTGAAGTAGCCCACGGGATTTTTATATCACAGCAAAAATATGTGTTAGACTTGTTGGTTGATACAGGCAATCTGGGATGTAAGCCAGTTGAGACACCTATGGAGTCAAACCACAAACTTTGTGATGCTCCAGAAGACATGGCCGTGGATAAAGGCTCTTTTCAGAGACTTGTGGGGAAGTTAATTTATTTGTCACATACCAGGCCGGATATAGCTTATGCTGTGTGTTGTGAGTCAATTCATGCACAATCCCCAAGAATCACATCTCAAAGCTGTGTATAGAATTCTGCAGTACTTGAAGAGTACGCCAGGAAGAGGAATTCTGTTTAAGAAAGGGGAAGGACTGACTCTTGAAGCCTACACAGATGCGGATTATGCAGGATCCATGATTGACAGAAGATCAATCTCGCGCTATTGCACCTTCTTAGGTGGTAACCTCATTACTTGGAGAAGCAAAAAACAGAATGTGGTTGCAAGGTCCAGTGCAGAAGTTGAATTTAGAGCGATGGCACTCGGGATATGTGAACTGCTATGGCTAAGGATAATCTTGGAAGATTTGAGAGTTAGATGGGAAGGTCCAATGAAGCTTTACTATGATAATAAATCAGCCATCAATATTGCACACAATCCTGTGCAACATGACCGCACAAAACACATTGAATTAAACAGGC